AGCGGGACTGCGTTTCGCTGTAGAATAATGAAAACCTTCCACACAGACACAACCATGCCTGTCCTTGGTGCTGAACACCAACCACACTGAGGAAAATAAATACGAGTCCAAAAGTAGAACAATCTACGATAGGACTGAATACCAGGCGTCGAAAATATCTACGGCTGGTAAGTTACGAAACCGCCTCTAGCAGTTCAATGCAAGGCTGCACCATGAGCCGCTTCTATTACTGCAGTGATTGTTTTTGGCCGCCTAGGGGCGCTTTTGATCCATGGCGATTTCAACAATAGTTCAAGCTGCTGTTGGTCAAGCTGCAAGGGAGCCGGACAGGCATAATCTTGCCAGCATAGGTTTCTGTAGGAAAACAGCCATAGACAAAGTCTTCAGGAGACACTTGCCTGTATTCAAAGAAACAAAAGAGAGGGACATCATGCTAGTGGCGATGTGCATAATTCTGGTTGTGATAATTTATTGCCATTTCCACAACCTAGTTCTGTCACAACCGCAACCCGATTGCTACTGTTGTATTCATCCGCGATAATGGCAAGAATGATCCCAGATCACAACAAAAAAGTAAACCAACACACCCAATTCTTTAAGACCAAACTCATATTATCTCATCTAATTGTCTAAGATATGTTGAAAACTTCACAACAGAAGATAATATTTCTTTAAACATTTCTAGTATAACACGATTCTTGACAGATGCTCCCATTTTCAGAACGCAAATCACAGGTTCATTCCTCCCATGCGTTCGAACGCCATGTTTACTCGTGTTGCCATGGACACGGGTTCGAATTCTACACATTCGACAAGTTTCGTGCTCACGAACCAGGTGGGAAAGTTTTCTCTCTCCTGTTTTAGGTAAAAATCCGGCGAAAAATCCTAGAAAAGTCGTAAATCTCAGTCATATCTTACGTATGAGCGCTACTCACATGCCGTTACGGCTTATAGACCGTCCAGAAGTGTTAATATTTGGCGAAATGAAGCACAAAAAGTTCGCAGAGTTCTAAACAATCTGGTCATGGCAAGGTCACGTAAGACCTCAAGGTCATTGTCGTTTGTAAGAAAAGTTTAGGCTTACGGGAAGAGAGTAAAGTCTTTAGGGGTATTTCTGACATCTTGTAGACTGAGTTTGTAGTGTATGTAGACGTCTTGGAGCCATTGGAAACCAGCAAATCATTTATTTCGTGGTGGATTTATTTGATGACCTCTGTAGGTGTTCTGCATGAGTGTACTTCGTCTTACCGAAGAAAATCCCTACGACACGATGTCTAACCTCCGCAAGATGATGACGTGGAACGACTTGAGTCAGGTAGAGGTAAGACCTACATATAGCTGATACACGGAGGTTGTTCAACCTTGTCCGCTGAACAACATTTGGGTTCAACCTGTCGGAAGTCTTATTTTTCAAATCAAACTTCAAACCGAGGTAGTAAACGAAAAGTATATATAGACATTTTGAATATGATTGCCTAACTAGACCAGGAAAGGTTATTCTCACATATTTCCATAGACGTATCAATGTGTTAAATGAATCATGACCCTTTCCTGCTCACTGCAGACTCAGGAAAGTGTGGACTTGAGCTTGTTCAGCCTGAGAAAACTGACCAATGAGTGTGATGAGGGGAAGTTGAAGGTAAGTTATTATTTCAACATTTATGGTCAGAAGCAGAGATTTTATACCAGTTATTATCAAACTAGTCCATGTATTCTCTAATCTTCACCAGCCTGAAGGATTTGAAATCTCAAGTTTCCCCATGTCAAAATTTAATCAATTAGAATTTCATTTGAGCAGCCTGAGTAAAGCAAATTATTCTCCTTTCAAACTTGTTATATATTATGTTCTGCTCATTTTATTAAACTAGTACTTGTACTCACAAGTTCCCTATTTATATGTTGCTTTGCTCTGTTCTGTTTGTTTCGGTCTGCTTTGTTTGTTTGTTTTGTTGATCTTATTGCATTGTGTTCCTTCTCCTAAATAGCCCGGGCGAGAGGGTGATGCGGCCAGCTCGTTTAGCGAGTAAGAACTGTTTAGTTGGGTTTACTACTAAAATGTTGAGAATAGTTAGAACATGAGAGGGGGGATCCTATCCACAGAGTCTGTTGTATATGGTGGGAACTCCTGTATTGTGGGAATAGACCTGTTTTCATTGCAAGAACTGCTAACGTCACAGCAGGGGGACATTTCAAATAGAACGCATTTGTAGAACCCGGAAGTTGAACACGGCTTTTGCTTGCGGTGTCCCCCATGGCAGATCACTGTGATGGTCTGCGTTCTGATCTCAGATAACAGAATCTGCTATCTGGTGAGATTGGATAGGAGGAAACGGGACAGCCATCCTTCAGTGAAGTTAGAGCGATAAGCTTTAGAGTAATTGTACGGACCCAGGGAACTTTCGGAAATCAGAGTTACACACGTCAGTAAATCTGCCAGGGAGGACAACGCAAGCGAAAGCTGGTTCTAGAATGGTGTTCTATTCGAAATGTCCTCCCCGTGACGTAAGCAGTTTATGCAATCAGTGAATGGTAAACTGGCATATTATCAAGATGATGGTTGCCTTAGGTTACAAAGTAGGTTGCTGCAATTTCCTCCATAGTACTGTTTAGCTGTACAGTTATGTTGTTATTGAAAACCTCTTTAACATGTTTCATCTACAGATCAGCTAACGTGAGCAAACTGGTGCGCGGTTATGAGTCCCTGACCAGTCAGTCACACGGAGCTGTCAGCAGTGGGATCCCCACACATGCACTACCAGCTCTGATCAGGTACTTACAGCATCATTTCAATGTTCCTTCATTCTTGTAGTCTGAATGATTCTAACACCAAATAACTATTTTCAATCTTGTTTAGAAGACTTACCCATTCCTCTCCATATCTAAAATGATGACATACAATGGTCTTTCTCCAACCCTGTTATTAGTTAAAAACCAATCAAATGACTGGGAGCCTGAAAAGTAGCCTGAACAACAGAAAATATTCTTAATGCGATTGCTTGTAACAGCCCCTATGGAGGGCAGTGTGTACTTATGTTTACCGAAGGAAAGCATATTGTTTTTGCTCAGTTTCCTTCCTCTTCCTCTCCAAACACTAACCTCTGACCTGTCCAATGACCTGATTTGTTGACGTGCCACCATGGTAACTGGTGTTGGGTTACATAATGTTGCAATTTTATAGTAGAAGGGATTTAGACTGGCCGATTTAGACTCCTGTCTGACCATAGATATGAATGTATTTGAGTAAGAACAGACCATGTGTGAAGGAAAACATTTGTTTTACAAATGTTACCTTTCTAGTTAATTTTGTCCTTCTTTCTCAGCCTCCGACCTTCTGACCAAAAGATCAAGGCAGAGTTGGAACAGCTGACAGAACAGCCCACCTCCACCCCCTCAGCTGCCGGTGTGGTTACTGGTACACCCCCACCAAAACCACCCAGGCTTCACCATGGAGATGACACTCCCGTCCCAGCACCACAGCCTGCCAGATGTGGGTACTTCGTGCTGTACAGACTCCACAACGGAGAGTGGTACCGCTTCCTGGCTTCTGATGATCACATCCTGGAGGAGCTGTTTGGTGACGGTGAGGAGTTGCACAGGCTGTATTTCCACTGTGAGGCAACGGCGACAGATGGAACCCTACCAGTCGGCAGGCTGGACGCTATTGACGACCTGCCGGTACGTGGCCTGACGTCCTCAGAGCTGTTGGATGTCGTGACCACATCAGTGGATCCTGATTTCTGGATCAAGCCGCTGGAGTTCGAACTGATCACACTGGAGGGCCCGACCAGTGAGCAGGAGCTTCCTAGTGATGAAGAAGAGTCTGGAGATGATGAGGAGCCTAGCAGTGATGAGGAGAACGGTGACAGTCAGCAGCAAGTCCACCCTGTCAAGAAGCGGGGACGTTTGGCCGCTTTCTTCTCACGCTGCCGTAGGGCTTTCACGTCATGCTGGCGCCGCTGAATATCCAGCACAGACATTCTCTATTTATGACATATAGCGATCTATATTTTAAAAAAAACATATTGTAGAAACTCAAAACACCAGCTTGGTGCAAAATGGTTGTTGAGCAACGTTTATGATACGAGTCATTGTCAAATGATGCTTAACCATATATTTTCCAACTGAGCTTTCTGCAAATGAAAAGATTTTAATAGCAGGCAATATACACTCAAGTCAAGACACATTAGTCTATATTCAGAAATGACAGTTGTATTATATGCCAGGAATGATATACAAAATGTACATGCATTTTATCCAAAGAGGACTACTGCGGTATACGATGTATGCATGCAGTTATTATATATTTTTATGCACAAGATGTTTTTAAAGAACAAGATCAAATTGTGTACCACACTGCATACTACTGAAAAATGTAAATGTATGTCTTCTGAAGTGCAAAGTGAACTGTGTTGTATTAGTATACTGTGTATAATGACTGATATCATAAAGCAATGACGTTGGTACCAAATTCTCCTTGACAATACATGTTTTATTGCATTTGATGTAGAGCTCTGCTAACAGTGCCCCATTTACAACTGTTACTTCCACTGTCAGGGCTTGAAATTCATTTTTGGGAGTAAGTGCACCAGTTGGTGCACCCAAGCTGAAAAATTAGGTGACAAAAATTTTTTGGTGCACCATATAAAACAAAACCTAGTAACAGATCTTACTGCTCTTCTTCTAGACTTAAATCTGAAGTGGGAGCTAACTTAAAAATCTTGAAGAAGTACTACAACAGTTTATTACTTTATCTGACACTTATATGAGATGAATATCCTGTATTCTACATACTATACGTTTAATAAGTACAACAATATTTGGGTGCAGAAAAAAATTTGGTGCACAGCTCGAATTTTGGGTGCACTATGGTGATCATGCACCCAGTATTTCAAGCCCTGACTTTGTTATGTTAATCCACCATTACACCCTGGCCAATCGAATCTGGACATTCAGAAACAGTTCACACATTCACAAAGGAAATGATCACCAAGACATTCCAATGTTTTTCATAGTTTATTCCAGACGACATTTACCATACATCATGTTGAACTTTGTAAAATTAGGCGGACAAAAAAAAAGGATAATGTTGAACAAAGTATATAGGAAAGGCAGACTGTACATACGAAAAGAGCTCCTATCATTTCCAATGACATTTTGAGAAAAGAAATGAACACATACTGATATCACAACCAAAACACTGTACCTGCAAATTTGTACCTTATAGTCAACATCTTTCTACAAGGTGACATGTTCGGATGTATTTATATTAGAATAGTGACACTTGTACAGTAGGATGGTGAGCAAATTCACAAATGTGACGGCCAAATTCTGGTGTAAATAAGCTTCCTCTTAGCATCTCAGCTGCACGGTAGCTAGCTGGAAAGAAGAAGAGACATCTAAGTTAAGTTGCATATATATGAATCTGTACATGAACCTATTTGCACAAAACATTCAACACAGAAAACAGGCCCACTAATTTTCAACTAAAGCAGACGAAACGGTTTTCCTAGCCATTCTTATCATTTCTGCAAGTCTGTGGCATAGGTACCGACTGAAGTATGTACTCCGAACAATTCGAAGTAGAGAAAATGTCAGAAAACCTTTAACATACCTCCTTGATTCTCCGACCCCTCCCACTTCCCTTTCATCATGCGGCTTCTGTCAAGACTGTGGAAAGATGGAGGTAAGACATCAGCACGCTGTCTCTTAGATTACAGACAACATGAAATGAATGACAATAAAACAACACTTATTTGCAATGGAGTAAATGATGATGGAAAAAAGCTTGATTCAACTTTTTGTACAGAAACAACCAGAAAATTTATTTTTTTTTAGTTGCATAATGCAGCTTTAACAAAGAAACAAAGAAGTAATACACTACCAAGTATGGCCTCGCTGGCATAGTACTTGACATCGAAGTCCTGGTCTGTTTTGAGTTTATCCAGACATGGTTTTAACTGAGAGTTTACAGTCCTGGGGAGGGATGGGGAAGAGTGTCAGACAGGAAGAACGCAAGTACATGATTGCTAAAACAATATTTGACTGCAGTTAGTTCAGTTCCCTTTCCACACATTTTGTACAGTAACAGTTTTATTAAAAAAGATTGGGATGTTTAAAACTCTGCATTTACATTGCAGTTAATGAGTAAAGAGACTCTTTTTACACAAGCAAGTCTTGGGAATGCATCTGTAGCAGTGACCCCTGTGCTGCAATGCAATGTGAACCAGTCAGAATTGCCCCGAGGAAGGTGACAGACGGTCAACGAAACGTCGGCTGAATAAAACACTTGGTTGTGTAAAAAGAGTCTCTTTACTCAGTGTTTTACCAACCTGATGAAACTATTCACGGATGTGGTATATTGCAGTTAGACTACATTTGAATGCCATTTTGATATTTCTCCACTTGGAATTTACCTCAAAAGTTTTGAGCATGCTCAAAACATATAGGTTGGCCACAAGAATGGGCACAAAAATTTGGAATGCGCGGAGAATTTCTAGAATGCACTTTAATATCCAGGGAGGAATATAGGAAAAATTTTCATTCAGACAGCATTCTTGTTCATCCTGCATCTACAGTTCTACATGTAGGTCTTGTACAAGCAAGAACTTGGAAGGAGAAAATGGTATAAAAACGCAAGCAACGTCCACTTACTCGGCATCAAAGAGGCCTCCTATCTTTTGGAGGGTTTTGGCGACGTTGAAGCGGACGTTGGGAACGGCGTCAGAAGCCAGCTTGAGGACGACCGGCAGGAACACTGACACGGTCACCTCTACACCACACACTTCTGCTAAAACCTGCGGGAGGGGTAAAAACATCACAGTTAGGACAAACAAGGTACCTTCCAGGTGGTACAAGGAACACTTCTAATGCTGTTATGTGCAAAATTGCACATTGGCAAAAATTTTGGGTGTGATTTGAAAAATTTATGCAAAATCATACTGCAAGTAAAATATACTGCTTATAAAAATAACGTATGGTTAATTTTTGCTTCTTTGCCTGCAATGGGCCTCCTCCTGCTCTAGGTGTAAAATTGCACATTCCAAACATGGAACCAGTGCAATGGCCAAATGGGTAGAAGTGTTTGCCTTGCATTCAGTAGGTCATGGGTTTGATCCCCGGCCAAGCCATACCAAAGATTTTTAAAATGGCACATACTGGCAACAATGGCTCACCCCCTCTGTTTAGCACTCAGCATTTGGGAAAAGGTAGGGGAGTTAAACACAACATCAGTGGACTAGACCCTAGCTGTAGTGATTGCAAAACTGTGTGGCCCATGGGCTACAGAAACGGAGATGGGCACTGCCCTATACACCATATATATATGTGTGTGTGGGAACGACCTTTCATTAGTATATACAATATTGTAGACTTACATTGACACAAAACAGAGTTGTCATCCTGTGTAGATAGTTGGGATCCTGAGCCATAGCCACCACCTTGGGCACGATTTTTGACTGGAAAAGAACACATGTCAATCGTAAGTAACAATGATATAAGCAGACAAAAATATGGTAGAGTAGAGACTCCGATCTGATAGAATCCTGATCAGAGTCTGTAAATTTTAAGACCATCAGAATTTTTCAACTTTGATTTGTGTCAGCTTTACATTCTGTCTGGCTACGATTCATAATTAGATTTCCCAGTAAGATTGACGCTAGAACATTGGCAGAGTGTACTGTGCCTCTGTGAGATCCCAAACGTAACGTGCATAACATTCCAACAGATTGTATCGTTTAGCGTCCTGGTTGTGTGTTCAAAGACGACATCCCGCCTGAGGTTTTCAAATGTTGCACAGGGAAAGATATCTTGCAACAGACAAACTGGTGGGGTCGTGTGGCGTAGCGGTAACGTTCTCAGCTCAGAACCAAGAGGTCCCGAGTTCAAACCATACCTTGTCACCGATCTTATGCCCTTGGGAAAGGCACTTAACATGACTTTCCTGACTTCACTCAGGTGAAAATAAGCATGCCAGAATGATCGTGGGCATGAAGATAAAAATAAAAACAAAATTCCTATGCAACTTTGAACAAACATCCAACAGTAACCGCGGTGGACACTACTCACCGTTGCCCACTCTGAACCAAACTTCTCCACCAGTTTCTTCAGGTTGTTTGTGGCGGCTTCCCTGATGGCATAGACGTGGTCCACCAGCCATGCCATGCACAGGTTGTTCAGTTTCTCATCAAAGAAGTCCTGGCCCTGATGGGTACCAAAAACACTGCATTACACACTGATATGTTACATGTGTCGAGGGAGATTAGACATCCAGGTAAGGCCATGCCAATTTAATTTGTTAGTTCTTGGACTTTTTCAGAAAAAGCGACAGGGCAAAAAAAATAAAAACAGGTCTAGGCATCCCTATTATAGCATCAAATGCTACGATAAGAGCCATGAAGTCAACACAAAAGGCTGGGTTAATATATAAACTATATTTTAATAAAACAATGAATTTTGAACTTTTAATCAAACCTCTGAATTGTTACATGGAAAAACTGTGACAACTAGGAAGACAAGGACTTTCCTCAACTGTTGGGGGCAAAATATGAGCATTTTTGAACCAGAATCGTTTTATTTTTGCAAATCAGAAAAAAAATGAAGACGTGAATCTGAGAACCAACAAATTAAATTGGTGTGGCCTTACTGTACAAAACTGATGTGTTGCGCCTAGAGCAAAGGCAGTTATGTGAAATGAACAAACAAACACGTACCAGCTGCCCAGCCAGTAGCGGCATGTACTCGATGATGGCCAGTCTGACTCTCCACTTGGTGTCCTCGGCTAGCTCCACGATGGCCGGCAGGAGGGACTGGGACAGCTGGGTGATCCCGATCACCCGGTTCACACAGTCCAGGTTAGAGATGATGTTCAACCGCACCTCTGGACACTGACGTAGAGAAGAGAACATCACTTATTTGCATATCAATCATTAGTTTGTGCTTATAAACCAGCATTTCTCCTCTGGCCTCTCAGTCACTGACGAAAGCTAGCTGAAACGTCTTAACCGTTTCCAAATTCGTATCCAGTTGCTTGAGTACCGGTAACTGCTTTTTGGCGTATCTTGTTACCTGGATGTCTAACCTCCATTAATGAAAGAAGAGAACTGTTTTACAAGGTGGTTGAATTTCCAATGAACCCACAAAAGGCCAAAGAACTCAAGGGACACCTAGGATTAACTTCATTGACAACTTCAGACCAGACCAGTGCTCTAACCAGCCTGAAAATTTTTTTCAGTCATCTCACATATCCAGTGCCACGGGTGCAACAATCCTAGGGGGGTCCGGGGGAAAATGGTGACATCTAGACCCTCTGAAACGCTATCTCAGGAATTTTGAGGGGCAATTTTTGCACGTAGACAAAGTTTGTTTGGTAAAAAATTACACAAAAGTTTCAGCTTAATTTGAGGTAAGCGTGGACCTTGGTTGGATTGGCAAAGAAAAGAAAAACTATTTTAACAAAACTTCTTGACTGCTTATGACAGATATTTAGGTCAAAGATATTTTCAACACATGAGCTGTTAGTGATCTGTAGTCTGTACAAAAATAATGAGGAATAGACCATTAAGAATTTAGGAAAAAAACTGTTCAGAAACCATTGCCATTACTTCAACTCATGGGTGGCTATAGTCTATATACTATATAGGTTTACGAAGGTTAACGAACTACCGTAGTACCTCATCTTTCAACATAATCAGGAACAGTGGCAGCAGGTGCTCTACGGTACTGTGAGGGAAGAAGGGAACATTTGTCAAACCACAGAAACTAACAGAATAGTTGACAAAACACTATACACTTTCTGACTGACATTGAGGCAAATCTCCTATGACATGACAGCCATAGTTTTTGCTGATTGAAGCTACATTTGTACTTAAAATCCAGTGTGAAGGATTCTTCCAAATGTGTTGTTCACATGCTGGGTTTCAAATTTTTTTTTCCATACAATAAAATACAGCAAATAGAAATTCGCATACACCTACTTCAGATATCAGAAAATAACTGCACAGCTTCAATTTCACCTGTACCATTTGGAGATTTTGAGCCCTGCTGGCCGATGTTGTGCTTGTATATACTCACTTGTCTTTCCCTAGGATAGGAGACAGGCCCATGATGACGGAGGCCAGCGCTGACTTGACGTGCTGGTTAGCATCCGTCACCAACTCCTGCAAGAAGAATGACCACTAGGTCAAGTAAAAAAGGAGCGTAGGGTTCAATGGGAGGTCTACACAGCTATCTGTCCCAACGAAGGCTGTGATGGTTAGGGGGGAGGGGTGTGTCTTTCAGGTGCACAATTGGTGGACTTTCAGGTGCACAATTGGCGTGTCTTTCAGGTGCACAATTGGCGTTTTTCAGGTTAACAATTGCTGTCTCTTTCAGGTGCACGATTGCTGTCTTTTTAGTCCACAACTGCTGTATCTTTTAGGTGGTGCACAAATTTTGTCCTTTAGATGCGCAATTGCTGTGTTTCAGGTGGTGCACAATTGCTGTGTGTTTCAGATGCAGAATTGCTGGATCTTTCATATGAACAACTGCCACTTGCATCACAGTTAGACAGCAAAGGAAATGGACCTGTACTACAGACCATTCCATCTCCCCCTGAACCTCTAGGGTAGGACTCACCTTGACACATGGGAGGATGTTTGTCATGATGGTGGTTTCCCTGACGTCTGCGGGAAGATTCTCACAAAATTCTGAAACAAAGACAGGAAGAAACTCAACTGATAAGTTTGCACCAAGTCAATGTCCTTTGCATATACATACAGAGAGATCTTAAAGGTGCATTATACAAAAAGTAAAGTTTCTGGCGGTTTCTTTGCAAAGTAAGTTGAACCAACCCTACTCCACAGCAAATACGTTCTATCTGAGAAGTGGAGGTACCAAAATATGACGTGTTACGAATATAGGTAGAAAAACAGCTGTTAGCCATGTTTGTTTACATTCTGATATTTTGTGGTGGTGCCAGAAAATAAGTGCGCAATGTACCTTTGACTTTGTTAGCGGCGGCAGCCCGGACCTCTGCCTCGCAGTCCTTGAGCAGGCCCTGGAATGCTGGTGCCAGATCCGACTTGGTGATCTCCGGACCCACGGCTACTTGGAGCTGTGCAGTAACACGCAAACCATTCAGTAAGTCCTAATGTACATACAATAGTAATATTCATTCTACATTTATGACCTAATGTTTAAAGCGACTTGAGGGCAGTCTGGATTTTCAAAGCAAATTTGCTTGTCATTCTTTCAAAATCTAGTAAGGTGAATGTGAATCAGCCCCCAAAATGCAATGTCACTAATGGAAAAACGGTTTCTTCTTTTGTATCATAGGCTGCTGCTAGCTATTTATTGGTGGTACCAAAAAATAAAAGGACTCCTCCTGTAGCTTGTTTCTGGGGTACTTCAAACGCTTCAATTATGGAATGATGACGAAAATGTACTAAGAAATGGCAGTAAATGTCAATATCAGAAAGTTTTTCCTCTTCCAGAATATTTCTTTTTCCCCTTCCTTAAATTGCACTTGATAGTACCGATTAAGATTAACGACATGCATTCTGATAGAGGACCTTTAGATATGCTGTCTTAGCAAGTGGGTGGAACCTACCTACACCCTTAGCCTACACCGCAACACCTCTCCCTACACCACCTACCTCTGTGAACTTGTCTGCCACCATGTAGCGGACTCTCCAGGACTTGTCCTCTGCAGCATTTTTCAGTGTGGGCATCACCAGGCTCTCTAGGTCCTCTCGTGGCAGGATGGAAGCTATGCTGACACAGGCCTCCACAGCAAGCAGACGCACCGAGTCCTGCCCGGCATACAATAGGTATATCATTCCACGCACTGGCCAAACAGCTTCCTTCATCATACAGCACATCAATATATACTAACAAGAGCTATACATGAAGTTCTAAGCCTTAAGCAGTAGTAGTAACATGTATGCCTGTTTTGTATGACACAAATCTTGAGGTAATAAGTCTACTTCCCCTTGTTTCTAACTTTTCAGAACCAAATCTGCAGTGTTTTCCAAAGCTTTATTCCTGGCAGAAAGCCTTACATTTTTTTTATTTTTGCAGATTTTAAACCGTGCATCGATCTGCTCTGTACGACAAAGAAGTATAAATGTGCCGTCCAAAAGAAGCATGCATGTTCGAAGTCGGATCTTATAATAGATAAAGAAACCTGGACCTCTCTCAACACAGCCACAGTGCATTATTAACTTGCAAGCAGACGAACACGTGGCACAAAATAGAACAGCTAACTTTCCGGAAAGTAGTTGGATATGCTTTAAGAAATAGTTACTTAGTCGAGGATGGAAATGTTCAAACGTGTGCAGGTCTGGCGTTGCCATGACGGTCAGCTTCGAAATTCCGCGGCGTCTGCAAAGCTTGTGTGAGAGCACATCTAGCAAGGCTGTTATATGCGTTATTTCTTCAAGAGCGCAACAAAAAATTAAAAAATTGCAGAGCACTCCGGTAACTACATAACTCTTATCAACATCGATCATATATCCCTCAGGAATTCAGTGGCCATCTGAAACAGATCCGGTCAGTAGTTTGTATACAAAGTCATCGCACACACTATCTTGTCTGAAAAAGCAAGCATACACACATACGTACATACACACAGTCACCACCTAATTTTCACAATGACACCACAGAAGTAAAACATCAACACTGGCAAAAACAGAACAAAAGTGCTTGGGAAAATACTTCTTGAAAACCTATTTTTTCCAAAAACTTGGGATGGCAGGCTAGGTTGTGTACAAATAGAGTAGAGTGTCTGTAGGGGGTACAATACTGTAATTCCTGAATTTTTGCTGTGAATTATAGTATTGTTCAGGAGTACAACTCTATGTACTGAGGCCATTAGGAAAAAAGTGTTGTGTTTCCTGTTTCAGTCCTGAAAAAATTTGGGTCAGTAGGTAGGGATTATCTTTTTTCCTTTCTTTTGATGATCTCTAGTGATCCAACTTATACAATACAGTAAAACCTGCATGAGGACACTTATATTTTCAATGTCAATGTTTGTGACCGACTGTGCAATGTTACATCAAGCTGTCAGATCATGGAGCTAGGATAGCTCGAAAAAATTCATGTTCCTTGCAGGGGTCCACACAAAAAATAAGACTAGGGTCAGCAGTAAACACATTTTTCCTAGGCCTGATATTTTGAGTCCCTCCAAGAATTTGCCATAGGCTAGCCCATACCCTGGTTTATGGAAAAGTGCCTTTTCAAGAAGTACTTCGGAGCACTGGTATGGAACTGTGGATATATTCATTTACATTTTGTACCTGTTCGTCACTGGCCAGGTTGGTCCAGAGCGGGATGAGGTCAGACTTCAGGTACTCCAGCTCCAGCACTTTGGCAAACTCTCCCATCTTCCCCGCCGCCGCGCGACGAACCATGGGCGTGTCATCACCGCACAGGTTACGGAAATGCCTGGGAGAGAAGGAAAAACAAACTTGTAAGATTCCAAGGTACAAATACAACAAGGTAGGCATGACAAACTAGTGGCGACGATCAAAATTTGCTTATTGTATGTAATGTTTATGTAAAAAGAAAAAAATATGTATGTGTAAACAGGTTCTTCTTTTGGTGTTTTCTGTTGCCAAACCGAAATGATTCTTTTCTTTATGGAGCACAGGGGTACTGCCTGACCCAATGTTGTTGTTGTTATTGTTGTTTGGGTAAATACCTGTTTACTTTTGGGGTAAACACATGCCTCTGAAGCCTACGTTGGGAAAAACAGATACTCACTAGGCATTTATGAAAATAAAAGAATTGTACATAGCTAGAATTCCTGCAGACTGACTATGAATCATGCTATAAGGCCCGCCCCTGTGGCATCGCCAAAATCCCTTCTATCTACAATACAACTAAGGTAGCAAAGAAAGAAGTAGTTATGAAAATGGATGTTCTACTCACGTTCTAAGTTCAGCCTTCACTTGGCTGGACACCCTGGGATATGGCACACTGAAGAGCCCACATGCCGATGTCCTTGATGTGAACCAGTCACCTAGAAATGAAAGTCACATGAGACAAGTTGTTTGGTGGGACAAGTACAAGTACAGTAATACAGGACATATTTAAATAATCGATGGTACTGTTCAGGACTAGGAAACACAATGTAGTGTTTCTGGTTTCCCATACAAAAGCTTTGTAAAATAGCGGCAATCGTATGTGGCAATCTATGGCGCATAACCACACGCTATTACACTAACATCTACACGTGTTTTACATGAGGAAAGGACATGACTTCACGTTTCAATTGTAAAATGCACGGCCTTTTACAGTGTTTTGCACAAATCTAGTCGCAATTTGCATGTGCATAGATGGGAAAATAATCGAGATCTGTACTGCAACATGCTGAATACCTACCACTAGCCAGACGTTTCACCAGGGGTACAAAATGTGCTTCCAGGTCGGCGGTGGAGTGGTCCGCTGCGATCTTACGGAGAGACTCCACAGCCTTGTCTCGGACCACCGTCTCCTCAACAGTGGCCAGGCTCTCCAGGGGTGGCTGAAGGAAGAACAATTCATGACTATACATGTACCATAAAAACAGGGTTCTCACTAGAATTTTTTTCACGGCATAAAAGTCAGAAAGTACAACTCTCCATACAATCAGTCCCAAAGACGTGATCCCTAAATTTTAAAACTCATAACCTTCTGAGACTTTATTACAATTTACATTGAGACTACCCTGAGACATTGTTACGAATTTGTTAAGCTGCGTTTTTTCTCTTGTATACATTGTACCTTCATTCTTACGTCCAATTTTCATTTTTTTTAAAGATTTAGGAAGGGTCACAAGATTCTCTCCCAAAATTAACACCCCCACAACAGATCGAAAGACGGTGTAGGAGGCTAAATCACAGCATTGGGGGTCCAAATCACAGCATATGGGGCCCCTACACTAACACAGCCCTGGCAAGAACAAACAGGATGCTACTTCAGGCTGGTGCAGGTAGACATCAGAAATATCCCCAAACCTTGTGGCAATTTTACCTGCACTAATTTTTCGAGCCGTGATAGGTTTCATCAACGGTATATGTTCTTACCAGCAGACAGTGGACATGCTCCTGGCCTCCAACAAGTGGTGTGAAGTTTCCTAGCTGCTCAGCGAGGGCCAGCAGCACTTCATCTTCATCATAGATTGTGTCTGAAAGAAACGCAAGGGAAAATCAATGACCTGTCCTAGTTTGGAAGCTTCCTTGGAAAAACAGTGACATTTCTAAACTAATGAATGGTTAAACTTAAAGATCACTAAATGAAGGGTAAATGTTTTTGCTCTGTTTCTTCTTTCTTCTAAACAAATAAAGTCAATGACCTGGACCAAATGGCTGTCACCATAGCAACTGGTGCTGCTGTAGAAAACACCCTTTGGTGTTGGATTACATTATGTAGCAAGTGGCATGACAGTTGGACAGAGTTGTTTCCACTAAATTATAGTATATATATCATCAATGTGTTTGAGAAAGGATAAACAGAGCAGTACGTTTGTTAGGCTAGACCATGTGAAGGTTAACATTAGGTATGCATTTGCTTCGCAAATGTTACCTTTCCAGGTTTTGCATCTTATTTTAATATATTATTACGTATTATATATTTATATTGTATTTTGAATAGCCTGATAACAGATGTATATGTTGTGTATGCTAGGTGGAGATGTCTTTAAGTTTTTATAATAATATTTCAGATAAATATTTGATGTACCTGTAAGGAATGGGATGAGTTCACTCCGTGTTCTCTCCACACCCAAGGCGAGTGCTATGGTGGACAGCTTCTTGATGCTGTTCAGTCGCAGCTGCAAAAAGAAACAAACATCTCACATAAGGAAGTATATGGCATAGTGTCATCTTACAATAACACGCTGTATGTCACTAAAATCAAAATTATTCATAACACAACAATCCTACGTGAATTTCATATAAATTTGATGTACCATGTGAAATGCACTGTATATTTTCTATTTAGCTTTTCAACGGCAATGAACAATTACAGATGTCAGAATTCCTTTTGACCAGCTTCCTCAAAAACTTAGGTATCAACTACAGACATCAAGGTATCTTTCTTGGTTGAGCCTGGTACTATGTACATTCAACAAGAAATACAGGTTTCCTCCGTGCACCATCATCTTTCATTTCGAATGTGTACCTACGCAACTGCACAGTGGACACCCCCGCACCAAATTTATTATACACAAGCCTGGTTATACTTTCACACGCACACAGGGAAACTTATGTATAACCACCGTTACGTTATGGTTGTCATGGGCCACCAGCTAGCAACACGAGAATTTTTACTCCTACGCTATACATTATACAGGTTATCTGGGAGTAAGAGAAGTAAACTGGTTGCTACTTGATGGATTACTATTTACAAAACATCTAAGCTTCTTTGACAATTTGACGTTTCTCAAGCAATTTGGGAAGTTCAAGCCCTGCAACACCATCAGTGAAACTGAAAGGGTATCATTTTCTTGGCACATGTTTTGCCTGAATTTTGCAGCGCTGCCGCTATGTCCTGCGACAGAACTTCTACAGCAGACGTAAGGGTTGATAAGGAAGGGAACTGTCAGAAGATACCTGGACATCTTCGTTTCTTAACTCGTCAATCAGCACTGCAATGGGATAGAGGGAGTCATCGCTATCGCTGGCCGCCATTTTGAATCTCTCCTCCCTGAAATTCAGACCGGTGGACGGGTTTCCTTAGGTGTGATTTCAGGGGTAACGTCAGGATGTTGAAACCACGCGAGATGTTGTGAGACTGTGCGAGATTATGTCCTGCTTGAAAGGCGCCCTCTGGCGGTTCAGGTAAAGCTGGCAGGAATAGTGTCTGTCCTTGGTGATACAACTACAAGACCAACGAATGGATCATGGCTTTGTTGTCTTTAATGAAATGATGAAGTATACTTATGAACTGTCAGCAATTCGGGTAAAGTGATACCATTAAAAAGGTATACTGCAGCCAACCAAAAATCTGCTTGGAAATTAACTAGGGCCTTGGTGATCCTTGGTCTGATGATCGTTTTGAATTAGTGATGATTGGATCATATGTCAGCACTCAAGTCACTCTGATTCAGTTATTGCCTGAAGGCCAAATTTGATGACTCACCCATTAGGCCACACCAATTCAATTTGCTGGTTCTCGGATTCTCAGAAAAAAAAGAAGCGGAGGGGGAAAAAAAAATAAAACCAAACCAAGGTATGATAGCTATGATATGAGCCATGAAGTCAACTTACCAGGCTGGTTTGTATTTCAAACAATGAATTCACAACCACTGCATTAAATGGAAAAACTGTAACAACTCTGAAGAGAAGGGCCAAAATATGAGCATTTTGGTGTTGATTTAGAGCTGAAATGTTTTTCTTTTTTTGCAAGTCATTAAAAAACGAAGCGAGCAAATCTGTCAGAACCAATTGCATATCATGACCGTCATTTTGTAACTACAAACAGAGCTGAATTGGATCATAATCAGCCATGATACATGTATTCAAAACCAAACCAAGACATTTTAGTAACACTCCTTTTAATTACTCCACTTCAATGATAACCAAAGTCAACCTCCTTTGATTGTCAATACAATCTTGTTCTTACTAACCACTGTTTAGACTATGTAAGGCTACACACTTTTAAAACATATGTCATTGAAATTGCATTTTTTCAGGCCCAAACCAACTATTCTTTACGAGAGAGAAGGTTTGCAGAACATTAAAAAAAAAAAAAGTACAAGTCAGCTGCAGTGACCAAGAATATACAATGTAACATACCCAAGAACTGTTGATACAACATATTTTATTAATGTACAACCAGCAGATATCACAAACCTCGGGCAGTATGAGTTTTCATAATCGTAGCTTTGCACTATGGGTGCAAGATACATACAGGCATTTTGCAGGCCAACTGGCCAATTACAAATCACTAATCGTAGTATCTACATTTGGAATAGCCGGATGCAAACGCCATTGGCAGGATTTTAATCCTACGTAATTAGGCAGCGAACACAACAATCCACACAGCCATGTATTCAACATTTTAGATATGTATATTATATATATATATATATATCTTAATATACATACATATCTAGGAATGTATCAATGCACAATTCTCATACACACACAAACTTTCATCGCACGCTGACCACAACATACAGATACACAGTCATCTTACTTAGCAGTACAATGCTGTCCCTGCTGTGCTTCATTTGCTGTTCCAGTATTGGTACAAAGTGATACACAGTACACTTGTAGAGCTGGTGTACAGTACAGTATAGGCAGACCAGCCTGGGTGCCAGCTTTTAAAACTTTAGTACGCTCTGTTGCTTGCCTGCCAAAAAGACTGCACCTGCATACATGTATATATAATCTATCTGTCGTGCAACTGATTCAACTGTTGTGCATTGACCCCATGTAGGTTTGACCAATCAGCGCACCGGTTCAAATTCTGACAAATATTCAAATGACAGGCAGATAGAATATGTGTGGGTCCAGTCTTTTGGGCAAGGAAGCAACCGAGAGAGCATTACTCAAAGCTAAAAGGGGCCGGCACCCAGGCTACAGGCAGACAAAATCAAACTGGATTATCTAAGGGTATCTTTAATGTTTCCTGGTGCCATTTATAACTATCTCCCTGCTGAGGTAGCATTTAGCATCAAATGTGTCTTGGTTACAAGTCTAAGCAGCAGGAAGAAAGTTAAAACTAGAAAGGTAACATTTGCAACGCAAATGCAAGATGTTTACTTTCACATGGTCTAGTCTAACAAACTACTCTGTTTATTTCTTACTCAAACACGTTCATACACTACACATGGTGACCGGAACCTGCCACTTGCTACATAATGGCATCCAACACCACATGGTGTCTGCTACAGCACCAGTTACCATGGTGACAGATGTCTGGTCCAGGTCATGTGTTTGGAGAAGAAACAGAGGAAAAATATGACATTGTTTTCCTTCTGCAAAGGTAAACATAAATATCTGCCAAGAATGCTTAGTGTATTTCACTACAGTTGTCCATAGAAAGTTTATTTTTTTCATCTTGACCGACATCCCAAACATATGTTTATACCGGTAGCTGTATTGTACAAAAACAAACAAGATTACAGTCAACATCTTGAAATTTTCCTTGCTTGAAACAAACTTAAATCTTTATGGTTATTTGAGTGCTAGTGCCTGAGTGTAGAGTCTATAGATTATTGGGGTACCAATCTTGCTAGGGTCGATTTGGCACTACAACGCAAACCTCAAACAACTAAAAATACAATAGATGTACTGCATTTCACAACACTTTCTTGTCATCAAGATTAGTCCAAAGAAGAACTGATGTACATTGTAACTACAACTCCTGAGAACAGTAATCTGATGAGAGGATATACTGCTTGTAAAAGTTGATTGGTTGTTCCATTGTTATACCGATCTCAAATCTATACAACTTTATACAAGTGAAATTAATACTAGTACCACTGAACAGTGCAGACTCAAACCAAATGCCATCTTTTACACAAGTCAGTGCAGAGTGCTTAAGCCAGCCTCTCAAATCTCAATTTTGTTTGACATAATATTATGCCGAGTGCTACGCTAGTCCGAGGGCATGCTCCTCTGGAAAATTTTAAAATCTTGACCCTCTGAAATGCTGTTTCCTGCATTTTCAGGGCAAATGTTAATTTGCTGGTAGACTAAGCTTAGTTGAATGACATCTTTTTCTGTATCTTTAAATGGCAATTTTTGTATGTCAAAGATGATGTTTGGGCAAAATTTTTGTCTGTCATTAGCAGCAAAATTCCATCAAACACCAGTAATGGAAAGACAACTGGCTAGAACACTGGGTCTGTGCAAAAGGACACATTTGAACAATTTCACGAGAAATTAACTGTACTGTAGTAACACATATCATCATGATAATCATTATGAATTGTTTGCTAATAAAGCAAAAAAAGGTTATAAAAGCCCCTCCCCAAAACAACAGATTCACCATTATTACATCATGTGTAGCATCAAATCTCAAAATAAATACATGAAGTTTTTCTTGTCTAACTACTTTCTGGTGAAATGTGAACTAAAGCCAGTTTCAGAACACGGGTAAGGCCCCCTTTCCACAAGAGAACAATTGCTCAGCGATCATTTAGTTACCAAAATCCGATTTATGTAACGCTTGATTTCATGAGTTAAAAGACAACAAATAGAAAATAATGTTTAATGTTCTTTGGCTATGAAGTTCATTGCACAGTCTGTCAAACATAAGGTCGCCTATCAGTTGCAACCTCTGGTGGAAAGGGGGCAGTACAGGTCTAATGCAAACCGGCTTACACAGGTTTTCAATGGTTTTAACGACGCGCCACAAAGTGTTTCAATCTTTCAATCGTGATTTAAACACAATTCACATGTCTTTTGCATGAGAAATAAAAACCATGTGTAAAACGTGTGTAAAAGGAATTTACCCAAGATCTGCACTGTAAATATTCATGACTATCAACGTATTGTAGTACACAAAACATGAAGTGACGTAGCAAAGAACTACAGCTGTGATTTCATTAACTTTGTCAACTCTTCAACTGGTTATTGGCATTGCTTGTTACTTTGGTTAGGTTTGACCAGTTGGCAATGGAGTATGCAGTATTTCTAGTGACACTAGAGGCAAAGACAATAGACTGGGTGCCGTCTTTCGTAGTTACCGCCGGCTCCCTACTGTTGCTGGCTTCTGTGGTCATTACCATCACAACTCCCAGGCTGCAGACTGAGTTAGACTAAAGCAACTGAAAACCTTTGCAACAACAGCCTAGACCAACCCCAGTTTAGTTTACCTACTAAGGATATAGGTTGGTCCCCATACAACAAGAAATTCTGAATTCTAACTTAAATTGCGATGTACACATGTTAAGTACTCCTGAATAAACTTATCAGTGTTCTAGCCAGCCTGAAATTTTTGTTTTGTTTGACATAACGTTATTTTGAGCGCCGAATGCTACAATCCTAGGTTGGTCCAGGGGCATGCTCCCCAGAGAGATTTTTAACTCTTGAAACTCTGCAAAATTCCGTCAAATGAAAGACAAACGCTGGCTAGAACGCTGCACCAAATTCAACTTCAAGGCCTATAAATTCACCCACCTTTGAACAAGGATTATGTAACTCCCACCACTTCATTTCACCAAAAGCACTTTTTAGTGCACTGATTTGCTAAACTACAGTGCTTGAGTGTTCGAACCAAGAAATTTTGGAAAAAAAGTTGATCCACTCAATGGCACTTCTGCACTTATAACTGATTAACTTTTGTGCAGGACTAAAAAAAAAACAAGTAATTTCATCAAAAACCATCATAACACTGACTGCCATTAATTGAGAAACTATCTTTTAGGCATTTGAAAATGTACGAACTACAAAAACAATTGGATGCATTGATTATTTGCAGTTTACACTCAAAATATCCAGCAAGAAATCTCAAACTTTATTTGAAAGGTCCATCAGCCATGTAAAGTCAACATTTGCCAACAATCCAACAGTTACTGTAGAGATATCTAAATTCTAAGTAATAATATGTCTCTCACAAGTAAAGCGCTAGTAGACTTGTCACAGAGCCGGCGTGTGGGCTTGTTCGTAGCCAATCTCGTACAGCGAAGCGATGCCCAACACGCGAAACACGATGGGTATCACGCAGACCACCATCAGGCCCAGGAAGCCGTACGTGAAAAATTTGTACGGGACTTCCACCACCGCCCTGCTCCTAGCTTTGGGGTCTTCCGTGGACTCTCCGAACAGCCTACACACCGTGTGGAGGGTTAGCGGCTTGACGACGGCGCGGGAGATTCCCGCGATGATTCCTCCCAGGACAAAACGGACGGCAAAGAGGCCGAGTTGTTGGATATTTGGCCAGATGACTTTGTATGGAGGGGGGATGGAGGGGTCCAGCAGTAGGTTGTACTGTGTGTTGATCCAAGCCCCGTATATAACACCTGCAAAGACATCCGAAAATATGTGAGCTTGGTAGAAGATTCATAATTGGGGTTTCCTTTTACACAACCAGTAAAGACCTGCTTACATTTTGATACCTATCATCAAGCTCCTCAGAGCTTCTGACTGGAGTACTGCTTCTAAAAAAAAAGCAACCTGCCTACATCAGCTACATATAGCAGTGAGAAGCAGTACTCCTGAGTCAGAAGGAAGGTGTCTGATAGACTTTTTAAAAACTACGCTAGTCAGATTCACTCAGAAACACACTTTCCCAATTTCTACTGATCAGCTATCACAACCAAATCTACCAAACCCCATCTAAAAAATACCAGCACAGTGAGTTTCCCTCACTTCTTAAATGAAGCTGCAATTAGAATAATTTGAGAAAGCTTTCATACCAGCATAGTTTGAGGGAAGGGGCCCACTTTGCTGTTTCGGACTTTGCACTGTCTTTCTCTTTACAGACCTTTTTAAAAATTAGCATTTGGCTTTAGGATGTAACAGAGGTAAAAGTTAACTTCAACAAATCTTGAAATATAGTGGAAGATCTAGAGTGTCTCCTCAACGACCTCTTGAAGTTTAGGCCTGGGAAAAAATGTTGTGTTTCCTGTTTCAGTCCTGAAAAAACTATTGTAGGTAGGTAAGGATTATCTTTTTTTTTCGAGTTCAGTGATATCTCTATAGGGGTCCAACTTATACAATACAGTTTAACAAAGTAAAACTTTCATGAGCACATTTCTATTTTCAATGTCAACGTTAGAAAACCAATTCTACAACATTTTATCACTCAGGAGTCAGATCATGGAGTGAGAAAAGGTCGATCAGCTTTAAAAATTAATATCCACCAAAAAAAGTCTAGGGTCGGAAGTTTTTTCTAGGGACGGTCGGTTAACAGGAAACACAACATTTTTTTCCTAGGCATTATTTATGGTGTCTTTGCAAAAACTTACCTGCACAAGTACCAACAATCATGGCCGTGTCTCCCCTGGCTGTGTTCCACTGCCCCCCACTGGGGTAGAACAGGCACAGCATGAAGTAGGAGCTGACCACCAGCAGGGGAGAGTAGGGGTGGTGCAGGTTGAAGTGGTCAATGGTGTCCAGCCAGGGGGTGATGAAACATGTCAGGAGGACGCTCAAGGTCAAACCGGCAAGGACATCCTGCACGGACACATCAAACAGTGTCAATAAACCATCTAATCGAATGGCATTTGAATGATAATGCTCAAAATACTGGGTACATGTGCACCTTTACCAAAAATTACGTACACCCAATTTTTCTGTGGGTGCATATTTTGTTTGTTTATATGTAAAGATATAAAATGTATACTACTACACAGCATATCCTTAACATCTAAGTGTCAGAAAAATAATAGAATTATTGTAGTAGTTACCTTTCTTTAGAAATTAAATAAACATGATTACTAGTAGTTTTTTGCTAACATTCTACTTCAATTATTTTATATGGTACCCCCAAATGTGTACCCAATTTTGAGTATACTACTATACCAGCTCCAGTGCACCTATTCCCAAAGCTGAATTTTGAGCCCGTAATTGTTACACAGTACACGTGACCATTACTTTCTATATCTATAGTATCACAAGAGATCATCTCTTGTCTTGACCACCAGACCTTAACCTTTAGCACACTGAAGTAGCTGTTTGGCTGCCAATTCTCTATAATTGTTACAGTTACGAAGTAGGAAGACGGTTAAAATTCTAATGACTATGTAAAAATTGTATGGTACAGTGTAATCCCAATTGTAGTCTGTTGACATAAGACTCCGATCTGGATTTCTACCAGTAAAATTGGCAATATTCTCTACCCTGCCATTTATATAAATACATGTATGTGTTACTTATTGTCTGCATCAAATCCAATAAAAAAGCAACAAAAAGCTGGACTCCTAATAGATAGAACCTTAAGTTACTTTTAGCTGTTTTTTTGCTATCTATCTCAGTTACATGCACTAAATATTTCTTTTCAAATCCAACCCCATGACTAAATGTACAGACACAGCGTAGCACAACAGGAATGCAGTTGAACAGAGCTTATAGCTATATATAGTAACATTGTGCAGTTCAACTGTAATGAATGTCTGACATTCGGGGTTACACGTGGGTTACAAAATGACAGCTGACTAAGCAAACCCATGGAGTTACAAAGTGTACTCCTATGGCTAACTTTTCGCTCTATAATATTTTTGTAGATTGACGAATGTAAAACTATTAAATGTATACTATACAGCATATTCTTGACATCTAGGTGTCAGAAAAATTAAAATCTTTCCTGTAGTTATACTGTCAAAGATTTTGAAAATAGCTCCCATTTCAGATTCAAGCTCAGAAGAGGAGCAGTAAAAAACTAAGAAGGTTCACTTTGTATTTAAGTTTTGCTAAGTAACATTCTACAGTTTATTTTATATCATGCACCCCAAAAAAACTTTTGTGCACCACCCAGTTTTTTTAGTGCACCTGTTCCCAAAATGAATTTGGAGCCATGCTGGTGTATAATTTATTTGGCCACTTAGTTAGTGCCTGGTACTTTCTAGCAACCTATTGGAGTCTGCTAGAGACTATGTCATGTACGTACATTTGTACTACAGTGTATTTGTGTTTCAGTTGGGTTACCAAAACACAGGTAGACGTCATGCATGGTGGTTGAAGGGGCACACCCATGTCCTTTGTTCACGCTTACTGTTCCCAAGGAGACGACTATAAACAAGATTGTATGTGATAAAGGAGCCATATATTGTATTGGTTTTGTACTTACAAGACCACTGTATGTACGTAAGGGCTCAACATACTAAATTCTGCACACCTACACTGGAGCAGGTACCATTGAAAATTACCCGCACTAGACAATTGTCTAGTTTTACCTGCACCTGGTCCATAATTTAGGGAGGATGGCTCATACATGTACTAAAAACTGTTCAGAAACTTTTGCTATTTCATGTATTTTTAAAATAATTTATGACTTTTAGGTCCAGGTAACAATCAATGCAGCAAATACAAATCTGCATATACCTACAGGGACTAGAATATACATGTATATATAGTAATACCGGTAAACCCAGTACATGGACCACTCCAGTGCTATGTTATGTTCTGGATTTCGCAAAGGCGCAGTACGTTCTCCTAATGTACTGGCTATGCACACATGTACAAGTACAAGTACAGGAATCGGCCATGTTATTTGTTTTTGTCAGACTAGCTGTCCTCAGATCTAGGATATATCACACGACCTTGGGCAAAACACTGCCCTTCAATTATCCCATCATAAGTTCATGACAGCGTCCCAACAAAACACTTCAGCCTGACCTTCAAGATCAAAAGGTCATAAATCATTAAACAATGGGTTCAATCAAGGATAACCTTGGTTCAATAGAGTACCTGTGAAGCTCTTTGTTAAATTCTAATTTCATAGGCATCGTTACAGGCTTTCATGGAAAAGGGTTAGGCTCTAGCCATGACTGGGCTTTTTGGGTAGCCTTTATATTACCTGTATAATGTGCTTTTTTTCCCTTTCTATGAATATCACTTCTATTTGAACTGTTCTTTTAGACTTCAGTGATATCTACTAGTATATAAGAGTGGAACTTATACAATACAGTTTAACAAAGTAAAACTTGCACGAGGACACTTTTATTTTCAATGTCAATATTAGAAAACGAATTATACAACATTTTATCACTCAGGTGTCACTGTCAGATCATGGAGCTAGAAAAGGTTTGTCAGCTCGAAAATTATGTCCCTTGCAGCAGGGGTCCACCACAAAAGAAAAAGTCCAGGGTCAGCAGGTTTTTCTAGGGTTGGTCGGGAAACAGGTACACAACATTTTTTCCTAGGCCTGATCTGAATATTGGGACAAACCACCTGTTTACAGTACATGGTATGTCCCAGTCATGAAATCCTTTTGAACCTATTAAGCCACCCACTACATACAAATTCTGCAAAGCAAGTCTACTATTGATCTGTAGTTATATATATAATGCTGCTAGGAGATGTCATCTGATAGGGCAATACACTGTAGATTAGGTGACTGGTAACAAGATCTGTAGTACATGTACTTTAATTTGAATTGACCTGTTATGCTGATTGTAATCATACATGTAGCTGGATTACCTGGTGTTATTAACTCTCAAAATCTCTTGATATCTTAAGCTTCTTGTGGTAATGTTGGATGTTCCTGTACATGTATTACTAGTACATGCATAGTTATAGTTATGTAGTTATACAGGTATCACTGAATCAATCATTGTGTAATTCTTATAATTGATACAATTGGGTGGATTTTTCTCTGTATTATTCCTTTTTTTCTCTAGAAATTACACTAGAATCTTTGAATCAATGACAATCAACAGAAGATTTTTGTCACCCTGACCTAATGTTTCAAACATACCAAAATAACTGATTCAAAAATATTTGATTTCAGATTTCGTGAAGAATATAGGGTCAAAATGATTGACCAGTCGATTGTACTTCAGTTACAAATTTACCACCAATTGATTGTATGTACATACATGTAAGAAGACAATTTTTCACCTTACTGACAAATGCTCCAAATGAAAAAAAAAGGCTGGCATTAATAATTTATTAGGGGCTTTGTAGTTTGGAATCCTGCTAACGTGTAAGCATTTCATAGAGGTATGAGATCTTCGATTTCCTGTTTAAAATAAATTTTTCATGTAACCCTGGATCGAAATACCTTTTTTATACTTCATAGCTGGTACCTGGTAGCAAATAAAAGACCACATACACTATTTGTACATAATCCCAGTACACCGTTGCAGATAGACATCAGAGATACCTGCACAGCTCCAATTTTACCTGCACTAACCTGCATATACCCAGCACATGGACCAGTGCAGGTTAGGTGCAGGTAGACATCAGAAATACCTGCACAGCTCCAATTTTACCTGCACTAACCTGTATGTGCAGGTGGGATTTCCCTGTTTGACAAACAGTAATAGTACTTACCAGGATGTTGTGCATGCCTACATACAGCCGGCTGACACACACCAGGAGACACCACGCTGCACCAATCATGTAACCAGCCGGGTACCAGTACTGAAATACACAAAGCCATAACATAAAGACATTGACTTGACTTGACTTGACAACAGTGTTAGAAATGCCCACCTGCAGTCTGGATTTTGCAGAGATACCAGTACTAGTACTAGTACATTAATTATAGGTTCGATATTGCAGAAAAAATATGTTAGGGGTTCAATGGCACATTAATAATGTTTTTAAACAATATTAATCCTAAAAGAGCTTTATGTGCTTAGTAAGTATTTGTACAATGTACTAGTAATTACTAGTAATTTTGCATGCATTACTATAATATTCACTTCATCATGTTTGCAGCAGCAAAATAAGTTTCTGTTCTGAGAAAAATGGACATGTATCTTTGTGACACTCGTGCAGAAAAAAAGAAAGTTGGTGAATTATTTGTTCATGGTAATGATACAGAGTGACGGCAAAAACATAAAAACTATTAAAAGCACTGTGAAAAAATAATCACAGTAATATTCAAATTGCATGTAAAATGGCCAACATGCCATTTTGTCTATGTCATCCTTACTTATGATTGTGTACTTGCAGAAAGTATAAATTGCAGAACAAAATTTGACATTCTGCAATATTGCAGAACACCATTGCATAGTATGAAATGTAGTTCAGCTTGGTCAATGGTAAACAGTTGTCAACAGTTGATTACAAGTCTTTCATGGATGGCATTCAATAATAAACAGTTGTCGACAGTTGTCCACAGGTATTGTGTAGCTCAATTGATAAACAGGTGTCAATTTGTTGATGTATGTAGTTCAATGACAAACAGTTGTCAACAAGTCTCAATGTATTTCAATGAATTAACAATTGTCAATTAGTTGATGCAAGTCTTTTGTGTCATTAACAGTTATTAACAATAACAGTTGACCAATGGACCATGCCGGCCAGAAGTATTGTGTGCTTCAATTGATAAACCGTTGTCAATTCATTGACTCAAGTCTTACATGTATGTGTTTCAATCATAAACAGTTGTCAACAGTTGAACACAAGTCTCATGTATTATATGATGTAGTTCAATTACACTGTATTTTGTTTAGTAATAACTAAATCATTAATCTAAGCCTGCTTTAAATTTGTTTTTGCCTCCAATGCTCTGATGTATTATATAAAATCACACCTGTCACGTGGCCAGTTATGTTTCCCACACGCCCATACTCCGCCCCCAACCATTGTCTCACATCTCACCACTTTAGACCTTTGAACTAGCTAATAATAACTTGTAAGGCCAGTGAGGCCATGCCTACATTTGACAATTGGTACCGTCAGGTTTGGACAACATAAGACTAATTCTAAGAGGGAGTGAAAATCAAACTGAATATACACTTTTTAATTTCGAAATATTTTACATTTCTATGATTTCGATTGAGCTTTTTGTTGATATTGCTTATCACCCAAAAGAATTATTGTAGCGAAAATACTTCAGATCCTACATTTAATTCAGAGACTAAGTTTCATTCTTGTGAGACTATTCTGAATTATTATCTTTTGCCTTTGAAATGTTATAAAAATTTAAGAACATGATACTGTACTTGGACTCTGGATTTAATCTTTTGATTCTAAAAACATTTAGTTGACAACCAGGAACAAAATCACTATTATTACCTTAGATGAGATTATTGTGTTTAGGAACTAAAACTTGTTGCCTTGGCGATATTGTTATGCATACCTTCTTGCAAGGAGGGGCTGGGAACCGGAAATGGTAACGTTACAGGTAAAATTTACACCTGACATGTTAGGTTAGGTGTTTTACGTACATTCTGAAAATCACACTGTCAAAAAAATCTCTGTCAGGAGAATTGAAGACTTCAAATCTCACCTCGTATCTGCCTACTGTCCAGTAGACAAACGTGAAAGGAATACAGAACGCGACGATGGCATGGGTGGACGGGAAGCCATACTCCGAGTCAAACGTGCGCTCGATTTTGGCGACCGGCGGGGAGGGAGGCCGCGGCCAGCGGATGATGTCCTTCGCGGACTGTCCCAGGTACATGGTGAAGGCCCAGACCACGATGACCCGCCGGCTGACGAAGTAGTCAATGTTCCAAAACCAGAAGGGGAAGAAGGTGATGTAAAAGAGTTCTCCTCCGAGCGAAGATCCGAAACAGAACAGGTAGTACCACATCTTGTTGTTGACTCTGTACGGCCGCCCGGCCTCCGACACGTGGTTACCCCATTCCGCTTGGTCCCTTGGGTGGCTGAGGTCAACATACCCGTTCGCCAGACTTCTTCCTACTTCTGCCTTTGGTTTGTCTTCCTTGTGTCGTTTCCTTATGCCGTTTGTTGCTGATGCCGAGTTGTGGCAGTTGTCACCACCGCTGCAGGCGTCCCCGTTTTTCTCCTGGACTGAATCATCGATGAACTCGATCCCGCACAGTTCTTGAAACTTGGCCACGACACTTGGGTCCTTCAGCGCCTGAAAGAAGGCTGACATGTTTTTTGTCTACTTGGTATCACTTTTCGTGCTGTTTTTCAAACTGAGGGAAACAGTGCCGCTGCCCAAGTCCACGAGGCGGGAGAAGCCAAACGGCTGACAAAGCCTTCGATACTTCGTCTGGCCGGCAAACTGACCTATGACATCTTGGAAAGGTACACTACCTGCCAACGGTTATATTTCTCAATAAACAGTAAATAACACAATCATTTTGCAAACATGAGAGAAAAAAGAGACAAAAATTATATTATCGATCATAAAAGAGCGCTTATTGCTAAGATTTCTATTTATTTTTAAAGGATATAAGATGATTCTGATTGACAATAATCCTGGGCAATATTCCTGACACCCCTTTTTTAAAAGTGGAATCTCCACATCCCATCAGCCCTTTAGGCCGCTGTTGCCTGGTGTGTATGGGAATCGAGACTTTCTGTTGACCCCTGGTAAAAATCCGTCCAAATCTCCAAGTTATTTGCATCATCTGTGCACGTCAGTACTGATTTTGTGTAGTAAACAGTCAAAAGATTAGAAAAATGCCAGAGAACGCAAGCTCGGGAGCCAAATCGGGCGGCAGGGGCCAGTACAAAGATCGTGAAAAGCCGGAGTATATCAGAACGAGTAACATCACAGCTGCCAAAGGTAAGCTTGATATACATTTAGCAAATTCTTACGTTTCTTGTAAGAAGTAAAGAACGAGATCATCTTTTTCAAAAGGAGAGGGTCTTGACGACTGTATATTTTCAAAATTTCTGTTTTGCGAGACTCTCCTTCCCCTACCAACGTTACAGTTTGTCGTGCCTCCATGGAATGATCTAGAAGCTTCTCGAGTCGATGTGCAAAACTTACCGGCATCTGACGTTGCCATGTTACTTACATCTAGATCTACTGCACACTGACATATCCGATGTCTTTAGTATGTCATGACAAATGGTGGCATGAATATTTTTCATTTTGATTTTTTTATATGCATATAAGAGCTAGAATCAAACGTTATATGATTTATTTGCATGTAGTCCTCTACGAAAGAGATGGGGGGGGGGGGCATGCATGTAAAAAAAAATTATGAAGAAAAATCTAGGTTTTGCCAGGTGCAGTACGTTCTGTTGACATGATCATTTTATATGGACGTCACTTGTGTACAAAACCAACTTTGCAAGAAATTTAAGTGACGAATGCTTCACTTTTTTTTAACCTAGTAGTATCAGTTGGATTCAATCCCCTTTGCACAACTCAAATGGCATGATGATCCAACATGTGACATTTGTGAGACACAGTTAAACTTTGTTTTTCTTCTGTTACAGCTGTGTCAGATGCCATCCGGACTAGCTTGGGACCAAAGGGAATGGACAAAATGGTAACAATATCAAGAATCCATTATGTCTCTTTCAGTGTCACTGTTAGTGTCTTGAACAACTATCAACCTGTGTTTCAATGAGCATTTTCTAATCTTAATCATCAGAAAATTTAAGTTGCATCTTAATTAACCCTTCCTTTCATTTAAAAATGATTTGAAAATCTCTAATTGTGTACATGTAGATCCAGGCATCCAATGGAGATGTGACCATCACAAATGACGGAGCCACTATCCTCAAGCAGATGCAAGTACTGCATCCATGTGCAAAAATGGTGTGTATATTTTTTTCTTAACAACTTACTGTAGTCAAGACTTGTGTAATGAAAAAGTCTTACTCGTTATACTGACCCTGCATTGTAGCAGCTTTCTAAATTCCTTTTGCAGAACAATACTTCATGCAAACACTGGACAGCTAATGTAAGAATGATTGTTGTTTGGTAAAATTTTTAGTCATATTTATTCATATAGGCTACTTAAGTCCTTGGTTACTTTCCTAGCTTGTGGAGCTGTCCAAGGCCCAGGATGTAGAGGCTGGAGATGGGACCACATCAGTTACTGTTATTGCCGGCAGTCTGCTGGATGCTGCAAGCAAGTTGTTGCAGAAAGGTGGGTTTAATCTTGCATAAAAGGCATGCACAAGTACATGTAGGATATTCATGGGATGTACAAAAAAATCACAATGTTTAAAGTACTAACGTCTTTATTTCCAACCCATATTAATGTAGTGGAAGAGAGGACATGGATAAGCCACACAAGTTGTTGGTACTTAAATTTTGTCAGAAAAAATTTGAAGTGCCAGGGAAAAAAAACAGGTCTAGGCATCCTATGATAGCCCCAAATGCAACGATAGGTAGTTCATAATTCAAACAATGAATTTTTAACCTAAAATGGAACCACTGCATTGATAGATGGAAATGCTTTAATGACTCAAGAGGAAGATAATGACTTTCTTCAACTGTCAGGGCCACAATATGGGCATTTTTTATTTGATTTAATTGATCTTTTTTTGCAAATCAGAAAGAATGAAGTGGGCAAATACGAGAACCAATCAAACTGGTACATATGGCCTTACGAGACTAATACATTTTTAGTCTTCTTGTTAATATAGAATGGTGCTCAAGTTCAAGTTAAAATGGTGCTCTTGTTTGTATGTCAGGTATCCACCCAACCACAATCTCAGAGGCATTCAAGAAAGCAGCAGCCAAGTCCGAGGAGATCCTGAGTGAGACGGCCACTCCTGTGGACCTGGCTGACAGGGACTCTCTCGTCAAAAGTGCCTCAACGTCTCTCAACTCAAAGGTAAGGGGACGTCTTTAAAAAAAGAGTGTAGAGCTCAAAATCATGGCAGAAATATAGAGAACACCTCTTTGAACAGGTCCAGGTGGCCGGAATTTAGCTCCCGTTGCATGAAGGCAGATATTTTGTGGGGTGTAACATTTGCTAAAAAGACTTTGATTCCACTCGCCATTCCACTTATTAATAAGCATAACGTTAGTAATCTTTGGGAAAACATGTTACTGTGTGCTTTCTATTCATACTTGATTGGCAGTGTATCCATAGCATCACACAAGGACCTTATCTAATGTACATTGCATATTAGTCACCCAATGGGTTCTGGTTATGTTCGATCCTGATCCGCTGCAAACATCTTGAGCTACTTCCTCGAGGTGGATTACTTTTGACTCAGATCGGAGAAAGTCTGCATTGGAGCATTCACACTGCAAAAAAATGATCCGGATTGACGAATTTTGATCCGGATTGATGCTCCATCCAGATATTTTTTTTTAGTGTGAACTGGTAAGAAAAGAACCACAATGTGACTTGATGCCATTTTCTTCCCCAGGTTGTTTCGCAGTACTCCTCCCTGCTGGCCCCCATGGCTGTGGATGCTGTGATGAGGGTCATTGACCCCACCACTGCTAAAAACGTCGACCTTAAGGACATCAAGATGATCAAGAAGCTTGGGTGAGAACAGTCTTCACTGTTTGTGTGCTTGCTGTATGTCACCAGATTTATTGGGTCCCAAGTCACATTTCGCTTCATTTAATTTGTATCAAAGAGCGAAGGGTTGCTTAACGGCACCCAATGCAGTTTTAGGGCTTGGAAATCGGATTTTTCAAAGTCAGTATTGCAGTCACTCAATACATTAAGTTGAAACAAAACTATCCCAATGTTTATTGACATTCATGGAGCAACAATGTGATGTTGTATGGTAAAAACTCGTTGAAAATCCGGCATGGCTGGGAGCTTATTTTGCACTGTTTAAAATGCCCAAAGTATGAGATACTGATGCAAATATGCTAATTTAGGGCAGTATGTGTCAATATCATATAAATTGCCTAATTAAGAATGATTTATTCAGTTTTGCCATCCTGAAATTGCATTGGACATTTTTAAAAAACAGGATGCAAGCAAGATATGATGATATTACATGTATGTGGTTGTGCCTAACTGGTAGGAGGTATCAATTGTCAACTTGCAGGAGTGGGACACATTTGTGTGTACCTTACTTAGTCCTATTGTTACTTACCTGCTTGATGTTTGTGTTTTTTTCTCAGTGGTACTATTGAGGACTCGGAGCTGATAGATGGCGTAGTGTTTGATCAGAAGCATGCCGGGGCACCGGGCGCTCCATCCAAGATGGAGAAGGCTAAGATTGGCCTCATCCAGTTCTGCCTGTCACCTCCCAAAACTGACGTAAGTCGAAACACTGTGTCAACTGTTAGATATTGCTACTTAAAACTTAGGCCTTCGCAGAAGGAAAGCATTTCTGTTTTTACTCTGTTTCTTCTTTCTTTTTCCTTTTCTTTTGTTCCAAACAAATAAGGTCAATGTCTTGGACCAGGCAGCTGTCCCCATGGTAACTGGTGCTGTAGCAGACACCTTGTGGTGTTGGATTACAATAATTATGTAGCAAGTGGCAGGACAAAGTTGAAAGGGCTGGTCACCATTTATATAAATGTGTTAATTGATAAGTAAGAATGAACAGAGCAGTAGTATGTTTAGCTACTCTATGTGAAGTTAAACATTGTCTTTTGCTTTGCAAATGTTACTTTTCTTGTGTTATGTTCATTTTTGTTGAACATGAGCTGTAACGTTGTTCATTGTAGATGGAGAACCAGGTTATCGTGTCGGACTACACCCAGATGGACCGCGTGCTGCGGGAAGAGAGAGCCTACATTCTCAACCTGGTCAAGCAGATTAAAAAGGCCGGCTGCAACGTGCTCCTCATTCAGAAGTCCATCCTGAGGTTTGTATAGAACATTGTATCCAGCCACGTTGCAGTACTATGTTCTTGAAAGAAGTACTTTTGTCTTTTTTTTTCTTTGTAAGGCTATACTGATTATATGAATGACACACTCTGGGCACAACAAAAATGTTGCGAGTGCCAAAAGAATTGGGCTAAGAAGTTCCCTTCATTATGAAATCTAAGTGCATGGTCAGAAAGGTTGAACAAATGACTGAGCACACACTAAGAAGGTGTACAAAACTATGGATTATCTTTATTTGTTGGCATCACCTTTTTTTGTCAGATACCAAATGCTATATGATACAATGTAGGACTGATTCAACTTAATACATTAAAACCAGAAAATTGACCATGAAGATCAAGTTTTGCTGCCCTGACATTACTGTAAATCACTTTATGTTCTCAGATATTTACAGTTTTCTCGGTCACTTCTTTACCACGAATTTAACATTACCATGAACAAATATTTGTGGACTTTCTGTCTTCTGCGCCTGCCGCCACCATGAACATATAGTTCTGCGAACATTTCCAATTTTCTCAGACTGCGAAATTTTGCTAACGCGAATATAAAGTGCGTCGATGAAGGTTAGACATCCAGGTAATACGATATGCCAAAAAACAGTTACTCAAGCAACTGGATATGATTTTGAAAACGTCAGACGTTTCAGCTAGTATCCACTAGCTTTCGTCAGTGACTGAGAGACCAGAGGGAAAAAGCAGGTTTATATACACAACCTGTTGATTGATATGCAAATAAAGTGAAGACAAATTTTTGGAAGTCGAATATAAAGTGATTTACAGTACATTGGATGCTTTTCAGCTGTTGTGTTTTATGTCTGTGTGGAAGTTCCATACAGCAAGTTTTTGAAACTGTGCCTTTCTTGTATACAGAGATGCTGTGAACGACCTTGCTCTTCACTTCCTGGCCAAGATGAAGATTATGGTGGTCAAGGACATTGAGAGGGAGGAGATAGAGTTTGTCTGCAAGGTGGGAAGAAGAATCATTGTCTTGTCATGGAATCAGTCTTTAAAGCAGCATCAGCAATATTCTGGTGCCAAAATTTAAAATTTTTACAGATTAAAAGTTTTCACGTGATTGCAATATACTGCCACTTTTTGACACATTTGTGCAATTTTCATTTTCTTACCCTGAATGTCACTCCGTAATGAGATAGGGTTGATTCAACTTACTTTTAAAGAAATGTTTAGAAACTTGACGTTTGTATTGCCCTTGTCACACAAGGTTGCTTTGAGTCAAACTTGAGAGTCTACTGGCAATTTGCCGCTACAAGTAGACATCATTTCAACTAATCCTGTGTGCTTCTAAAACCTTTTGCACTTGTAATTGCTGTAATAATGCGTGTGATTTGTTCATACAGAGCCTTGGCTGTCGGCCCATCGCCAGCATTGATCACTTCCAGCCTGACATGCTGGGACAGGCTGAGCTGGTGGAGGAACTACAGGTCGGCTCCGGCAAAGTGGTCAAGGTGAGGAGGACTTACAGTTACAGGGATGATGTTAGGAAGTTTTGAATGGGTCGCATGCATGGATACATTATAATTTTACTTTGTATACAAGCTGGAAGGCAGCAATTTTCCAACATTGGCCATTGGGAAGGAAAAATTTTGAATTTATTTCCACCTTTGCCTAGGTCATGTTTTTGTAAGCAAATTTGTGTCCATGTGGTTTGACGCAATAAAAATGTAGGGTAGGTCATGGCTAGTCACCTGTGAAAGAAATCATTAGATTTTGGACTACTTGGCAGCTTTCCCTTGTACTACAGCAGAACTTTCGGTTTTGATATCTTGTGTTCTGGACATGCTATCGTGGTGACTTTTTACGTGGTAGATAGCTCTTGTTCCATTTATTCCTTAGTTAGAATGCCTTTTGCAATTTGTTTGCATAGCAGCTAGTTGGGCAGTCCTGGTTGTATATCATTGTAAACAGCCTAGTAAATAAAAGTTAATGATGAATTTCTACAAATTGCCAATGATGAGACGGTTATTTGTACTGACAGATCACAGGAGTTCAGAACCCAGGCAGGACTGTGTCAGTAGTACTGAGGGGCTCCAACAAACTAGTTCTGGAGGAGGCTGACCGCTCCCTCCACGATGCACTGTGTGTCATCAGATGTCTGGTCAAGAAGAGGTGAGGCAATTTTTAAAATGTTTTCACACAATTTCAGAGTCTACAATGAAGGCTTCTAATTCTATGGCATAATATTTTATTAGTGGCATTGCTATGTATGAAAGTTGTCCTGAAGATAGCAGTGTATACTTACCAAGTATGATTATTGAACAATGACATTTTGATGTATTGATGTTCCTCAGAGAGTACACTGTTATGCTTGAATGCACTGCAAACTTTGTTGCAATTAAAGTCTCGAAACCCACTGAGGACTCTTTCCAATAGAGCAATATAGACCCTAGGGGTATAGAGATTTGGCACTTGAAGTCTCTTCCCTTCGAAACACAAACTATTATTGAACTCTTGCATTGTCAGCAAGGGATTTCAAGAACTCAATCACTACTATGTTCACCGTATCTTCAGTCTTCACCTTATGGTAAATTTGACAAAACAAACTGGAGTCAAGCATAACAATTTGCTCTCTGAGAAATTTAATACCCACTTCTGGAGTATTCCTTTAAATGCATTGAGGGTGACCACTTTATACTGTGAAGGATATTTTTTGGCTATCAGCTAAACTTTGTGTTGTTTTGACCCAGAGCTCTGATAGCTGGTGGAGGAGCCCCAGAGATTGAGCTGTCTGTACGTCTGAGCGCGTACTCGCGTACCCTGTCGGGCATGGAGGCGTACTGCATCCGGGCCTTCGCTGAAGCCCTAGAGGTCATCCCGTACACGCTCGCCGAGAACGCCGGCCTGAACCCCATCGGCACGGTCACGGAGCTACGGAACCACCATGCGGAGGGGATGAAGACTGCCGGCATCAATGTTAGAAAGGTGAGCGCTATGGTAGCTTTGCTTTCCCCAAGTTTCAGTTTTGAGAAATGGCCTTAGACAATGCAGTTTAATATAAGTTTGATAAAGTAATATAGATCAGTAATAAATGAACAGCAAATTAATGTGTCAATGTTAGAAAGGTTAGCAAAAGTCTTTGCTTTGCCCGTCTCAACTTTGAGAAAAGTGTCAGACAGTGCAGTTTTGTTGTACCAAAGTTTGATTGAAATAGTGCAGTGGGTAGAGTGTTAGCCTTGCATTTTGTAGGTTATGAGTTCAATTCCCGGTAGTGCTGTTCACTGGACTTGGATCCGGACTTGTAAGAATCTTTAGGTTCAAGTCCAAAAAAACCTAAAAGTCAAGAACCGAGTCCGGACTTATTACCATAAAAGACCATTTCACATACCCCTTTTCTTCCAAACCACCTAAAACCGTCCGTAGATTGCAAAATCTTTGCTGCAAAATGAAGAAAACATTGCCATCAGGCATTGTCAAGTATCGGCCTCCATGTTATGTGGCCAAAGTTTCACCCAGACAACATACATGTAGCAAGGTTGCCAACATGCAATTTTGTATATGCCATGGGTTTAGGTCCGGAATTACAAGTCCGGAACTGAACCTAAACCTCTGGACTTGAATCCGGACCTGAACCTAAATGTGGGTTTAGGTATGCACCACTAATTCCCGGCAAAGACTTTGAAACTGGTACATACTGCTTTCTCTGCTTGACACTCAGTATTTGGGGAAGAGTATGGGAGCTAAACACACAATACTACCAGTGGACTAGCTCCCTGCTGTAGTGATTGCATTACTCAATTTCCTGTATGGCCCAAGGACTATTAATCCTGAGCCACTGCCCTGTGCCCCATCAGAAGGACTGATAGGTTGATAGTAGCCAAAAAATTATTCTTTCTGCCTAAGTATTATTATAGATCAGTCATAAATGACAAATTGATGTATTTTAACAGGGCTGCATCACCAACATCCTGGAGGAGAATGTTATCCAACCGCTGCTGGTGTCTGTCAGCGCAGTAAAGCTAGCAGCAGAAACCGTCACTCAGATTCTCAAAATTGATGACATTGTGAGTATGAACGCCTTTGTTTTTGCCACTCTTTCAAGTTTCTCCAGACTTCTTGGCATGCCTTGGGAAGTTTAACCTTCTCCCTGCTGCCTAACCCATGGCCAATACAAATTTGGCACCAAATGGCTTAGCAGGCTGAAGGTTAGAGTTGCAGTTCTTGAATCATTGTTTGTGAGGTGTAGTTGTAACGAGTGAATTGATTGGTCTGCATTCCTGAGTTTTTACTGAAAACTTGAAAACTGTCTTTTTTTTTCAGGTCAACACTCGCTAGTACAAGAACTGTTGGAGGAGAAATTTCCTCAGTCAACTAGGAGATGATTTTGCATGTCGACGTCTACGTTTAATAGCAATCTGAATTTTTTTTCAATTCTTGATTTATATTATATCTACCATTGAAAAGTACATGTTGTCCTTGTTAATTTATGGCCATGTACTTGTCACGAAAGAAGAGCATGTCAGCAGAACGTACTGCGCCTACGTGAAACCAGTCATAGCACTTCAGCAGAACGTCTCATTCGCGTATTGAAGGATGACATTCCGTCTAGTTTTCCAATGTTGTTTCGGAAAAGATATTGTCTGCAACGGGCAAAATTCTGATGCAATGTTGACCAGACATCCAATGAAAGCTATGAAAAATACTGGTTTCGCACAGGCACAGTACGTTCTACCGATATGCTCGAAAGAAGGAGCTTAACACGAAAAACTTGCAGTGTCGGTATACATGTACTAGTTATTAAGTGCAAATGAGATCTACACTTATTCTGTATACATACAGCCACCATGTATTGTGTGTGAGAGTGAAACTTTATACATAAATTCACTATCCTTTGTTGTGTCACAAGATTTGTTTGTTGTGCCTTTATTTTCTCAATTCGACCACTTTAATGATCAAATGCAAGGAATACAAATTTTAAAGTAGGTAACTATAATTGCAGCTTCTTCACTGCAAGACTCTAGCTCTTTGACTTAGATAGGAAAGTTACCAACTTGAAAAGGAAGACTAGTGAGGGCTTGGAATCTTTTTTCTTTTTGCATACCTGCACCAGTGCAGGTAACGTAGCAATTAACATACACAGCTCTGCATGAAAAAGAGATTTGATAAGTAAGCATCAAACTCCTAACACCAGTAACAGTTAAGACGTTTGAATTCTTTATGTAACATTTCACTGGTGACAATTCAGAATCAGAATGATCATCAGTATAGCAAGCAAAACTCCACAAATGCATACTCATGGACTGGTGTGGGTAGACATGGTGGGATTTCCAGCCCTGCTATAGTACCAGTAAATGTTCAGTGTCTTTCACATACTGGGAGGGAACTTCCCATGCAGCAAATTATGACTGGGTAAACATCATAATATATATACTGCAAGCGGGCCTTGGTATAGCAGCTTGGCATTTTCTCTCTTGCTCAGATGCCCAGTACAGTCAGTTTTCTCTTCATGGTTACTTGCTGGCAAACCCCATTATTTCATTCTGAAAAAGATCAACATCAAGGAAGAAGCATTATCTTCAAAGTTCATTTGTGTCATTATGAAGCAAGAAATATTTGACAAGAAATGAGCAATACATGTAATGCAGCTAATACACATGATCATACAATGTAGGTTGCAGAATGTCGGTGGTGCACCTAATCTGTGTTGTCCTCAACATAATGTGACATCACAGAAGCAGAGGATTGCTCATTCCATGGCAACGTCTTCTATTTTGTCAGGACAATAACCTCAAAGTTCATAAAGTGTGTTTTTTTTAATCAGGAATTAATGGTAAGTCTGGGAGTGGGGCATTTTTGCTCCCTGGTTGACAAGCTTAAACCTTGGTCACAATCTGCCTTGAAACGTAGGTGATCCGTAAGTGGTAAGCACCTAATCCTACAGATTTGGGAGCACGCAGACACGCCGTAGAACAATAAGTGCATGTAAAACTTTTTCTGCGTGCGGTCTGCGGATTCACCACCCGTATGTACGAGTACGGGCGACGCGCGTGTCCCGTACGTACTGTACGTGAGCAGCACGTTTGAGTACGGCCTCCTTACGGTTAAGTTGCAATCGCACAGAGATCGTACGTTGTACGCGCGTACAACTCACCACTTGCGCAATGAACAATGCACGCAACCGCTCACGGCCAGACCTGGCGTGCAGACCACACTCTTACACCTTGCGCAACCGTGCGAGTGACGTGCATTGACGCCACTCCTTCCCCACGTTTCCAGTAGCAGACGTGGCCTCCCAATAAAATGTACGGACAAAAAGCATGCACAGGGGGTTGTGACTGAGGCTAGTCTGGCATCCAGGCTAGTAGCATAATCAAGAAAGTTGAAAATGCACAAGAGAAGTCACCCACCTTGAGTGGTTTGATAGCATTGGTGAACTGTAGCCCTACACTCCTCAGCAGCACCAGAGCTGGGTTATCTGAGGAGTACAGTCTGTGGAGACCTTCAATGGCTGCCATCATGGGGATAACTGCCTGCTGTCTCTTAGTCTCAAACTCCAACAGTCTATCTACACTACCTGGGGGAAGATAGTGGTCAAGAGATTTAATTTAGACTACACTGCACACAAATATTGTTGAGGCAAATTCAGGTTTGGCCACCCTTTGCGGGGTACGAATGAAAAGAAATGGGGAAAAAACAAGATGCCTAACCCTAAGTTGTCAAAAGTAGACACCAAAAATGTAAAAAGAATTGAAGTAACAAAACATGGTATAAGTCAACAAGTCTTTCATTCCTGTATTCAAGAAGTACAGAAAATGTGGAAACCTAGGATCACTTCAACTACATGTACACTGCAAGGGTACCACACTAGCAACGTCACTTTTTATCTACAACTACCAAACAAGTTTCACGTCTACAAATATACTCATGGCTACCTCACTGGTGTTACACAGGTTATTCCCCTTTTCAGTATTTTCTTGTCCTGTGGAAATTTGCCGAGGGGAACCAATTAATTGGCAAAAAATGGTATGGGTACTGATGCAATAACTTGTTACAAAGTTACTTGCTGTGGCCTTAGATAATTAAAAAAACAAACAAACAAAACTGACCTATATCTTCCCCCGTGGCCTCTGCCTCTGACACCACCTGCCTCAGACAGGAGACATCCCCAAACCCCAGGTTCACTCCCTGGCCAGCCATGGGGTGGACACGATGGGCGGCATCCCTGCAAAATAGTGACAGACACAATCTCTTCACCTGTATTTTTCAAACAACATGTACCTAATAAATGATAAACTGGTGGACATACCAACTACTAATAAGAAAAGAACAAGAAATACATGTACATGTAGTCATGCCTTCAAGTACCAGAGTTATTACCAAGGACTTGGGTGTCCTAAAACATGTTTCATGACACAATACTGTCAATAGGCAGAATGTCTCTTTTAAGGTCGTATTTGGGATTTTAAGGAGGACATTCTATACATGTATATATGTATAGGTTTCAAACACTGTTTTGGAAAAGATACCATCTGCAACGGTCAAAAACCTGATAAAACGTTGATCAAACATGTACATAAAAAAAACCCTGTAAAATCCAGGTTTGGTGCAGGCAAAGTACAAAATGTATGTTCTGCCAACGTGCTATACAATACATGTACCAGAATGGTCTCCTTTGATGAAATAACATACAAAACGTAGCAGTGACCTACCCAATAATGGCCATTCTGTGTTTGACGTACTGTGTGGCGTGGCCCAGACCCAGAGGGAACATAGCCCTGCTGTCTTCATCTACATCAGACACACTGGGGGGCAGCTGTCTCGCAGAGGTTCCACCTGAATATAAACAGAAATGTTTTTAAAAACTAGATGATGACTTAACAGTGTATTCCATTTAAAGTGATGTTTACATTCGCAAAATAAAAACATTGTTTTTGCTCTGTTGCTTCTTCCATTCCAAACAAATTATAATGTCATTGCACTGGACCATGGAGATTGGTGCTGTAGCAGGCACCGGATGGTGTTGGATCACATTATGTAGCAAGTGGCAGGACAAAGTTGGAGGGGCTGGTCACCATAATTATTATGATGATTGTGAGTAAGAATCAACAGAGCACTGAAGGTAAACATTATGGAGCATGGGAAGGTAAACATGAGGCATTTGCTTTGCAAATGTTACCTTTATAGTTAACATAAAACCCCTCTCAATATCTGACATTTGCAAAAAGGGGCAGATGGATTAACTTCAGCGAACAACCTATCAAGCACTCACCAGGGGAAATAGCAGACAGGATAGACTGAACAGTCTGTACAGCAGAATCAACGGCAGCCTCCCTTTTATAGTCCTGCCACTGAAGAAAGACAAAGACGCTTTAGAATTACATGTAGTCCATATTCATTTTTTTTTTTTTTTACAATATACACTTCAAACTTGTAAGGAAATCACTGGGTTGATAGGATGAAAATCTGTAACAACAAATAGGAAGACAAGGACTTTCCCCAACTCTCTTGTGTCAAAATGTGAGCATTTTGGGATTGATTCAGAACAGGTACTGTACATATTGTTGCAAATCAGAAAAAAAAATGACTTCAAGAACAAAGAAATTAAATTAGTGGGGCTTAATGTTAAGATTTAATGAAAAATTAAAGATGAGGTTTAAGTCTTGTTACTCACAAATGCACTGTTGACTGCCTCTACAAATTCATCTGCTTGCATCTTCAGGAGTGTCTCTGCATCTTCAGTAGTTGTCGACCAGACCAGGTTACTGTGGGTCTCACTCAACTGTCAACAAAAAATCATACATTTGTACAAGATTCCTTGATACATCTATAGGACTATAACTTCACTGTACATGTACATGAAAGGCCATGCCAAAAAATCACCAGTTTGCTTTAGTGCTAAAATAAAACTTTTTAAAAGCTTATACATTTTTGTAATTCAACAACTCAAAACAGACATTCTTAGAATTCATTCTTAATAAGTATTCAAATGTTAAAAAAAGAGTCATTGAAGACTTTATATAGGGTTATATTAGTCTCCACCAGACTCCTTTGCAGGCAGAACAAATAGTAGAAATTGGCCTAAAAGGAATGTAACTGGTCCGACTATTGAGGGTCCAATTTGCCTGCATTTCTACTACATTGTATTTATATTCAGCTGTAAAGGAGTCTAGTGGAGACTAAGGTTATATGATGTTAGGGAAGAAATAAGTCATACCGGTAACATGGCGATGGGACCAGTTGGTAGGAACCTCTGCCAGGCAACATTGTTCACTGTTGGCTGTAGGAAACAAGAACTGTCAGTACATCACTAGAGATCATCATGTTACAAATACATACAGTGACAAAGGTACAACATTCACCATTTGAAGGGTGAAAGACTAATTCTTACTTTTGTTTGAAGTAATATAACAAGGACATCTCTGTCACCATGTAAGGCCATACTGATTTGATATGTATGACATACCTCTGGGCACCCCAAAATTGATACAGGTGTGCAAAGAAAGAAAAAAAAGTTGGGCAACAAAACAAAGATGCCTTCATTTTGAAATCTAAGGCTGAACAAATGACTGAACACACAGAGCATGGTATGCTAAACAATAATTTTGTTCTTTGACATCTTCTTTGATTTTGGAAGTGTAAGCAGGTAGTAATTGAAGCCCTGCCTGCTTCCCTTCCTCTATTCCTAAATCCTTTGGCATATCCTTTTTTCCAATAACTCTCCACTGTAAACCTTCAAGTAGCCCCCAAAAACAGTATGTTTTTTTGTGACAAAAATTGATGCATGCATAGATGTCCTCCATATAATTAAGTCATTGTGGCCTGGGCATGTCTACCTCGGAGAGTTTGAGTGTGGCCACCACCCCAGCCTGGCTGTAGCTCCAGGACAGCTGTCGGATGTTAGCTGTCTGTCTCAGCAGAGATTTGGGACCATCTGCACCAATCTGTAACGTAGGAGTAACAGACAAAATGTACAATAGAAAATGCAGATAAAATATTTTGCACAATTTGTGTAGAGTTAGACATCATAGTCTTATTACTGTTCTAATTATGTAAAACTGGAAATTGCATCAAAAGGAGAATGCAGAATGTTTTTACTTGGATGCATGGTGCTGCATTGCACCCTCCATGAAAAAATGGAGTTATTGTTATTGTTTTTGGTCTCTGTGTGTGTTTGTGTTTTTGCATACTTGCGGCCAACATAATTTTACAGATTGTGATGATATTTGGTATGTGGGTAGGGCTTAGGAGGACAAAGGTCAAGGTCAAATATGGACCTCCAGGTGTCTGACCTTGATACTGTAGCAGAACCTCCAGTTTTTGTACCTTTTGTCCTGAACATGCTATGGTCTTGTTTATGCTGATTTAGAGACATATAACACAATAATATTGGCTCAAAAGCTCAGTTTGTGTCACGTAATCATGCAAAATGGCAATACAGATATCTGACAAGAGATGTATACGTACCAGAAGTCTCGTATCGAGCACTCGGCCATCCTCCAGTATCACCCTGGCCCACGGACTGTCCTCCCCGTCCGCGGCCTTGGACGGGAGCTTGTAACCTTTGACCCTCGTGTCAAACATGACGTCCACCAGACCCCGCATCGCGTCCAGCTGCTGCATCAGGCCCGACAAGATGACGTCGTTTTCCACGATGTGCGCGATGTCCTCGTTCAGGTCGTCTCTGTCGAAGGTGATCATGGCATCAGAACACGCATCCCATACCTGAAGAGGGAGGGGGGGAGCAAAAGTTGATCTCGATCCAGTTTTAGTACACTGAAGAGCTATAGTAAATCGCTTAATGTTTGTGCTAGTAAAAGTTTGTAGCCTGAGAAAAATTGACATGTTCTCAGAAGTAATATATGTTCGCAGTAGCGACAGGTGCTGAAAAAAGAAAGACCATGAAGTATTATTTGTTGTAGATTTAGTCTTTTTTCGTTTTACTTTTGTTTATTACTGGCATGGATAGATCTATGGAACTGAACAGTTAATGTAGTCACCTGCATCCTTTTATAGGGCCGTACTCTCATTTTATTGATGTAATCCCATGCTCCAATGTCTGAAAAACAAACATGGTAAAATTATCATTACCTTTATTCAGAACTTTCCTTATTCGAACATTGCAACTAGAAAAGTAACATTTGAGAAAGGCAACCTCTCAATGAGGTTATATTCCTTGGTGAAGGTAAACACAATCAAGTTCTGAGTAATATGGAAGAATACAAGAAAAGCTGAGTTGACCTTGCAGCAGCTGCACAGTTCCTGGTGTGAGTGAACAGACCCTGCTGCTGAACCTGTCTGGTACCTGTGTGAGAACCCTCCTGGGTCCTCCATCCAGCATCAGGATCCTTCTCCCCATCAGGCAAGGGTCACTGCCTACAGAGGGAGGTACAACAACCTTTTTTTTTCCAAACATGCGAAAGAATGTGAAACAAAAATCTGTGAAATATCTTTTATATATATATTTTAATTTCTCACTGATGTGATGTAACTGTAATATATCTGTTTATGCATTTTCCCACTGGCTCCCATAAGGCAACAGAGAATGCATGTGGCAGGAAAATGTACTCTCCAAGCAGAGGTTGTGGGGGAATGATCGTTAGCTTTTTATATATGGCTGTTTTTTTTTTGTCGGTGGCCGGCGACCTTCTCTGGCTAATGGATACTGCCTGGCCAATTTGATACTGTATTTTTGCCACCGAAAGGGATCTGCTTGGAGATTAGGAAAATAAAGACATGAAATGAAATAACCTTTTCTGGGACCTTTGACCTAGCTTTCTGCCAGTGCCTCCCAGAATAGTTGTATCTTGCACACGGTGATGGGAGCCGTCAGTGTCACAATTTTTAAGGTGAATGAAATTCAAAGTTCATGTGGCTAGCGTGTGGCAATAACTAAGTAAACACGAGCAAACACACATGCCAAAAACATAACCTCTGTGGACTATGGTCGACATCAACAACCAAATAATTTATGACTGACATCAAATAACAACAAATCAATAAATGTCAGTCACTTGCATATACTAGTACCCACCGAGTGCTAAAGCCATGGCAGCTCCCACCATCCCCCCTCCTGACACTATGATATCGTAGAAGTCCTGTGACATGTCATCTTCCCATGTTTCTTCTGGTGGGGGAGGGGCAGAGTCTTCTGTAGTGGTACTCTGTTGTGGTTCTCCCCCAGTTGTAGAGGACAACGTTCGAACCGCCGACCTTCTTGAGCCCGGACGTACATATGTGCTTCTTATCAAAGTCCGTAATGTACTTCTACAAAACAGAGCCGACATTGTTATTGTTATGAATCATACAATATTATGGTTCCGACCCCAACGCAACACTTTCGTTCTGAATACAGGTCAAAGGTTAAATTATGTAAGGTGGCTAATGTGATTAATACCTGTACAAATCGAAATATAATCAAAATGTTACTAGTAATCCATTTGTACATATATAAAAATGCAGAAAAAAATATTGTACAGTAATTTCATATTTTAGAGGATATTATTTTAAACAAATTTTTAGATTTTGATATTTTAGACAGGCAAAAGTTTAGGTTTTCGAAGGACAGGTGCCGCGCAAAGCATGGCGGGATAGTAATCAACCGTGGTTTATTCATTCCAAGGAGACGCGTAAATACAAGTCAAACGGCGATCATGGCAACCGGCCACGGGATGTGACGCGCCGGATTGAGTACTTAGAATGCTCCATACAAAAAGTCGTAGTAAGGTCACGATACGTCAAATGAGGCTGGTTTATGTGTCCCCGTGATGTCAACGAGTCAGACCACCGTGTGTGGGTCAGTTGGAAATTCAAAAATCACTGGAAGACGAGATATGTCCCGTCAAAGTTGACCTTCTAAGTACTCATTTTGGCGTGGTTTTTCTGTGTTTTGCGGTCTGCATGGGGGTTTTCAGACTACCGCTGTCCAGTCTACTTCCGGGTCAAACCACGCCCCCTAACAGCTGCTAATACACGTATGTGTGCTTATAGCTTATACTTGGACGGCGATTGCGTTCGATACGGATGTTCTGGCCAGTGTTATAACTAACGGTACGGCCCGGAGTCTCTTTTGTTATCACACATGCTTCCAAATGTTTCATAGAATAACTCGAACAGCCCCCGTTACACAAAAAGTGTAACGGTCGGGTTGGTACGTTGGGCAATACGGCATACTCAGCGTAGTATTACTGCATATTTTATTTTTTATTGCAAGATAACATGTAAGCCTTACCTCTAATAGTTGTTCCATCAGGATCACTCAGTTTAACCATACTAATTGTTTCTTCGAACTTCACATTACACCCTGTTCACCCTAACCATTCTGACCGGGACATATCATTCATGTTTCTAATGAAACATACCGTAAGTTGTCTTACAGACAATCTGTTTTGCTGTGCGCACGTATGTAAGTTCTAATGTAGTTCATTTTCGTTCACGACGATTTCAGTTATGGGGTAATTGTAACTTTGGACTACATATATCTTTAAATGGAACAATGCTAGAATGTCTACATGCATGTAAAATGTAAAAAAATGTAAAAAAAATTGCTGGACAAATAAAGACGGTAGATTTTCCACCTGTGTCACTTGAATGCAGGTATATACTGGGACCCGAATATGAGGTTTTGCAGTGTCATAGGAATGACATAGCCTTAACATGGCAGATATATGTCACCTGAGCCATTGGAATGATATAGCCCTGAACAGCAGAATTTCCACCTGTGTCATAGGAATGACATAGCCGGCAGATATTTTACCTGTGTCACAGGAATGACATAGCCCTAAGACGGCAGATATTTTACCTGTGTCATAGGAATGACATGGCCTTAAGACGGCAGATATTTTACCTGTGTCATAAGAATTATATAGCCTTAAGACGGCAGCTATTTTACCTGTGTCATAGAAATTATATAGCCTTAAGACGGCAGATATTTTACCTGTGTCATAGGAATGACATAGCCCTAAGACGGCAGATATTTTACCTGTGTCATAGGAATGACATAGCCCTAAGACGGCAGATATTTTACCTGTGTCATAGGAATGACATAGCCTTATCATGGGCAGATATGTCATTCCAATAACCATCATGGAAATTCTGTTGTTCAAGGCTATATCATTCCAATGACACAGGTGAAATACGAATGATATAGCGCCTTAGACAACAGAATTTAAACCTTCTCTTGTAAGTTTATCTTTGTTGGTAAAAGTCAGTATGAAACAAGTTTGAACTGCTATTGCGGTGTGGGTTTGCGGTATATCTTAACTTGCTGGGACCGTCCTCTTTAGATAGAGCAAGTCCGTATCCTGGATGCGCTCTAAGTGCGACGTCTTCTTGGTAGAGTAAGTCCGTATCGAGGATGCGCTCTGAGGTGCGATCTCTTTGGGATAGAGTAGGTCCGTATCCAGGATGCACTCTAAGTGCCGACCTGTCCTTCAAATTCTGTGCAGCCGACTATAACGTTACAGAACTTCGCGGGCGCCAATATTCAAGGGGCACGTTCAACTTCGGCTGCACATCCTCCAGCGCACAGGGGACGAAAAAAACAACATTGTGCATATTCAGCTGTATGACACACTTCAAAGTATACACTGTTTGCCTGTATGCTAACCTGTAAATGATGGAAACATTTTCCGTCTGAAAACTGTGTCAAACTGTCAATGGTATGACACACTGTCAATGTAAATACTGTTTAAAGTGTATATTCACCCACTTATGACGGAAACATTTTCCGTCTGAAATATTTGTCAATGGTATGGCACATTGGCAAAATATATACTGTTTAGACTGTATATTCACCCACTGATGACAGAAAACGTTTCCACCCGAAAACTGTGTCAATAGTATGACACACTGCCAAAGTACCGCTATACAATGTTTATATTATATAGTTATGCAGTTATGAAGAAAAAGTTTTATGCCGGAAAATTGTGTCAATGGTTTGACAAAATATCGAGGTATACACTGTTTTGACTGTATATTCACTAAGATATCGATATATGACGGAGAGCTTTCCATCCCAAAACTGTGTCAATGGTATGACGCAATGTCAAAGCAAAGTATGCTCTGTTTCAACTGTATATCCATACAGTTACGACGGAGGACTTTTCTGCCATGACACACTTTCAAAGTCTTCACTGTTAGACTGTATGTTCACATACATAGGCCATGTTGATTTGATTATATGGATGACATCCGCGCGCGCATGAATTTTCGGCCGTTTCCCCCAAAAAAAAGTTCAACCATACTGTAAATCGTGCAAAACAGTTGCTAAATGAGCAAAAATATACCATAAGTTGCAAGGAAAACATTTAGAAACGATACCAATGTCGTAGAATGCCAAAATCAAAGGAAAAAAAGACAAAAATGTAAAGAAATGAATTCGAAGATTAAATTATTCGCCATAACATATTCTGTGCCATTTGTTCAACCTTCATGACCACGTAGATTTCATAGTGAAAGCAACTTTTTTTTTGCAAAACATTTTTTTTATTCGTAATTTGTCGAGTACTACTCCACGTCGTCTGACAGTGTACTCGATAGTGTGACCCCTGGTGTGACCCGGAAACAGATGCGCAACCGGGTGCCACGAAACCCCCATGTGGTGCGTATTTCAGTCAAAAACAACATGGCGGAAACCGCCTAAATTCTGAGTAAGGGCGAACTTTGACGCGTTAATCCGTGGATGCAGTATAAGTTGAAGTCATTGTTTGAACTACACAAGGTTCTCTGTACCTTTCTGATTACGGAGATACATTGTATGGTCTCATCTGACGTATCGTGACCTTACTACGACTTTTTGTATGGAGCATTCTAAGTACTCAATCCGGCGCGTCACGGTTGTGACCAATTCCTGCGTGAAAAACCCCAGGATGCCCGGGTCCCGACTGGCGGCCAGCTTCAGCGAGAGGCTGGACACGACAAAGATCAGGAAGGGGCGGCAGGGGCAGAAGAGATCGCCCGGGAGGCGGACGGAAAGCGTCGACGAGTTTCTCCGATCGGACGACGATGAAGAACCGAATGGCACAGCCACCGCTCCTCAAGAAGTTTGGCTCAAGCCCGAAGAACGAGAGCCGCAAGCGGCCGGAGACTATGACTATACCGGTGAGCCACAGAGAGACCACGGTGACATAGAACGAACCGTAGACCCGATTGGTGATCTCGCCAACGAAATGTCCAACATGTCAACCGACGATTTCTACGAAAAGATGCAGGAGCTCAAAAGAGAACACCAGAAAACCTTGTCGATGGTCCACGGTCTATACGAAGAAATCCGCGAAGCAGAGGATCGACGGAGTCACAGAGAACAGAACGGCGGTGCCTCCATGGATAGTGAGGATACCGAGGAGTTGTTCAGAGATTTGGATGACTTGAGGAGTAGCTTCAGGGCATCCAGGAGTGCGGATAAAATAAGAGACATGACTGCCGCCAAACCGCCCCTGCCCACCACCAGTAGCCGACCACCCTCAGTGTCCAGCAGCAAATTCGCCTGGTCAGCGAAAAGAGATCAAGACATCGATCTCAACTACCTGAAACGAGGTAGGAGTCTCAGTGAGCAGGATTTGAGGAGGGTGGGGTCAGACAGCTATGCTTCTAGCGATGATGAGTTTGAACTTGATGGTAGGACCTCCCCTTGGCGGCAAACTACACCGGGACCCACCCCGATGAGTCGCATAGACAATATGTGGGACGACTTTTCCGTTGAAGACTACGCTCCTAGGGGGAGATCGGTGTCACGAGCTTCGCGAACCAGTGTGTCAACGAAGAAAAGCAAGGAGTGGTCGCCGAAGATCACGATCCCAGAACCCTTCGAAATGACTCTACGCGAGGCCAGCAAACCCAAGAAAAAGACGTCTGCCATGCTAGCCCTTCAGGAGCACCTGATCACCAAGCAGCAACGAGAGGAGGCGGAGCTACAGAAGAAGTTCAAGGCGTCCCCGGCGCCGGCACACGTTTACGTCCCCATGTTTGACGACATCATGCGCGAACAGGAAGAGAAGAGGCAACAGATCAGACAGTACAGCAAAGAAATCCTCAAGTCCATGGAGAAACCTTTCAGCTTCTACAAGAGGGAGGAGGAGAAGAAGAAAGAAAGACTCGAAAAAGCACAGTTCATGATGAAAACAAGCCCCAAGAAGAAGAAGGTAAAACAGTTCAAGGCCAAGCCCGTGCCTAGGTCCTTGCATGACCCGGCGGCAGCTGACAGAATACTTGAAGACGAGGAATACAGGGCCATCAAGAAGAAGATGAGGGCAGAAGAACTGATGAGATCGGCTTCCCTTCCTCCGAGTATGCAGGCGAGAGAGAACGCCAAAAAGGCTGATTCTTACAACAGGTTTCTATACAGCAAAAGGCCTAAGAGTGCTGGGTATTCGTTCAAACCCAAAATACGGCACTCCGTACCCGACTTCGACCAGATTCACAAAAAGCTGCAGTGGGAGCTTGGTCAGAAGAGGAGAGCGAAGGAGGCCACGGTGGCCGAACCGTTCAACCTCCGCACGTCGCGTATCCCGTCGAATACGCACAAAATCTACGAGGACATAGAGAGGGACCAGCAGAGTCTGAAAGAGAACAGGTGGCCTTTCAGAGCACCCCGGTCACGCCCACTCTCCTCCCCGGGGCGGTTATCCACGTCCATGGACTCCATCCCGGCCGCCACGACCGAGTCCACGCGCAAGAGGACCGCGGCGGTACGGGCGTCGCTGATGGAGAGAGAGATGGAGGAACAGGAGTGGAGGATGAGGGAGAGACAGAAACGACAGAAGGAGAAGGAGATTAGAAAGTCTCTGGCTGCCAAGGCAAGAGCCAACGACCAGTCTCTGGCCCTCAGCGAAGTGAATGACGACAAGCTGAAGGAATTTAGGTTTGTAAAACGATAATGTCATTCATCTGGTTGTATATTTTTTTGTCCCATTTCAGAATATGTATTTAGATAGTAATAATAAATTGTAATGCATTCTTGTGGTTAGGGTTGTTGAAGGTTCTGGGTTCAAATCCCACTGTTATGTCCTTGGGAAAGACACAGTATTACACGGTACTTCCTCACTCAACTCAGGTGAAAATGAGTACCCTAAGATTTGGTTAAGCAAGTACTTATTGACATCTTCTTGGATGGGATGTAAAACCAGAGGCCCTGCAGTTTACTGCGGAGAGGTGCACCTCGAGCATGTTAAAGATCCCACTGCACTTTAACCTCACTTACTATAATGAAAAGTGCAGGGGTCCATCCCAGTGTGAATGGTTCAAACAGTCAAACCTTATCATTCATTATAATAGTCCAGCCTTGTGCAGCTTGTAATACCTACTGTAAAAAACTGGTATGTTTTGCCTAAAGGCGGTTTACCGGTTATGTGATACAAACAAAGAAACAAACTGTGATGAAAATGATTAACATCTAATATGTTTTTCAGAGATCAAGAGAGAGCCCGTCAGTTGGACTACAAGAGGTCGCTGAATGAAATGATGGCACGTGTGGAGAGCAGGCCATACATGTTTGAGAGGCAATCACAGGTAAACAGATGTTCCTGAATATGTTGCAAGAATGCTAGTAAATGGGGGACTAGCCTGCTGGTGTCCCCGACAGTCTATCATGGTTTGGCCCGGCTCAATTATTAAAGCCTATGCTATGGGAAAGAAATGTTGTCTTTCCTGTTTCCCGACTGACACTAGAAAAAACTGCCGACCCTGTAGCTAGCTACTAGTAGCTAGGCTACTGGGGAATGTGCATTTCATGGAAAATGTAGAAAAGAATATTGTTATGTACTTCACTACTACAGTACTACCACGCTACTATATTGTGTGTGACACACGGATTTCTTGTGGTTTTTGATACTAATGATAGCGTGTTAGTCCCTTGTAAAGTTACTACTCCTGTCTCTTTTGCGGCATGTATGAGTTGGCACTGTACTGAGTTCTTGAGTTCTGTGGAGCCTCGGCAGCCTGATTGCCATCCTCTGTAGTTACCGCCAGCTACCTAAGTACTGTTACTAGTAATACCATGGACTACAGAGGATGGCACTCAGGCCAGAGCCTTGCTGGAGGAGGTGATTTTTGTTGTCACTTGTCATCCATAGAATTAAATCAGTATGGCCTTATGCTCACCTACAAATCTTGCCAATTTGTTTATTACTTCTAGATCAATGCGAGGAAGGCGGCTGAGAAGAAATACCAAGAGGCACTGCGCAATGCTGGAGTGGACGAGGACTTTGTCGCTGAGAGGAACAGCAGGTCTCGGCCAACCAGCTATCACGTGAGCGACAGCGACAGCGATGAGGGATCGTACCAAAATACGACGGGCGCTAGTCGGGACAGAAGTCCCTCTGCAAGCGAGGAGTCAGACTTGGAGGTGTAACGTTAATGTGAGGTTACCTGGATAAAGTCTAGGAGTGAGTACCAGTTCAAGTCTAGATCCCGAACCTGATTATAGTATTACAGTAAAAATAAGGTAGTTAACTTGAAGAAAGTTAAACTGTTCTCCAACACAAAAACGAAATTAACTCACCAGAAATGCTAGTAAGGTAGTAAATTCATTTTGTAGAGTGATATTCATGTCTCTCACTCTGCGAGTGTTACAAATATGTTTAGATTCACAGTGCATTGGAATGTTTTTTCGATGAACAAGCATGTGAATTTAGGTTAATCTAGTCTGTTTTTTTACCTCTTATGGTAACTTAGACTAGTGAAGTAACTATAAGTTTTACTTCATTACGAGTCCAAAAAATATCAGATCATGACTTTGTTTTTTTATTTGACTTGATGTTATTCCAAGTTGCACCAGGTTCAGTTAAACAGGTACCCACCCCTTGTATAGACAGTAACTGTTTCAGCAAAAGCACGTCTGCTTAAGTGCCTTAGAAACAAAGTACTCATACTGCAAATTGTGGAGCGTGTTTTTGTAGTTAATGGCAGGTGAAGAAGGCAGAAATGTCACTCAAGTACAATCACATTCCAGTACTTAAAACAGTTATACAAATGTCTTAGGTGTGGAAAAGCAGTTGCAATGAGCTTGTATAGATTGCTGCTATTCATTCCTGCTATAAATTCATAAAATGTGAATAATGTAAATATCAGTTGATGGTAGGAACGTTTTATTCAGTTTTGGAGGGCACAGTCTCTTTCATCCGTGCCTTTACTGTCTGTTACCAGGTAATATAATGGTAGTCTCCATAACAACTGGGTGATTTCTAGTAAAAAAACAACTCAACTTTACTGTGTACTTTGGTCATGATAACAGCTTTCAACTGTACATGTTACAGTGGCTTTGTCCTGAGACAGAGCTGGAAAATTACCTGTGCATCAGGCTGAATCTAGAAAGTATGGATAAGAAGAAGGCCATTTCCAATATTTTTTAATACTTCATAGGCTGCCTAAGTGATACCCATGAAAGGATTTCAACAAGCTATTCATACAATTTTAATTTGTAGATGTGGCCTTGCATGCATATTATATTGTTGCCATAGGCGTAATACATGTAGTTATAATTTATAGATCACTGCTAATAGTAATGACTGTCTGGGACTGGATGGTTTGTCTTTTTGACCTTAACTTTTAAAAATTTATGGACCATCTGTTTTTTTTAAGGTAGTAAGAGGTGTTTTGTTTTTGGGTAACGTAATTTAAAAAAAAAAGGTTTTTCATCGTTAATTTTCAAAGAGTAACACTCAAAACAGAACACTATCCACTGCCAGGATACATATGTCATTTATAATTGTCTCTTAGCATGGTGCCATTCTCTGTAGTTACTGGCTAACCTTTCTTTTTGCTTGCTCACCTTGTTACAGCTGAGAAACAAAAACAGAGAGGCAGCAGTAACTAGTTAAGCAAGCAAAGTGAGAGAGCACCGGTGCAAGGTTCTCACCAGAATTTTTTCACAGCAAAGGGGTCAGGTACAGAAGGATAATTTTCCATCAGCAAGCCCTACATCGAGTCCCAATGACATGACCACAGGAGTTCAGGCATTCTTCCAAAAAAAAAAAATTAAGACTCATAACCCTCTCAGACATTTGAGGGCCAAATTTTGTTAAGTTAACATAACTTAACAAAATTGTTACTCTGTTACACCTTCATTTTGAAGTCAAATTTTTATTTTCTCAAAGATTTATGAAGGGTCAGAGGGTTCTCCAAAAAGAAACACCCTACGCTCAAACAGCCAAGTGAGAACACTCACTGCAATGTTACAGTAGCTACAGAGTATGGCACACAGGCTAGTTGTCTCATACTTCTTGATGTAAATGTACATAATTAAACACACATAATCAGCACGCAGTGCAAGAAAAAAGAACAAGATCTTACTGTCACAATCCGCTCTTGGATACCAGAAGTGCCCACATGAAATTTAAAGCCATCGTTCTTCTCTACATATATTTATGTAGTGACATATTTTTGGAAAAATAAATGCTTGAAAATAAATGTTATCAAAATTAACAAAGGCACGGATGTGCATCTTTTCAAGTAAGGTAGCTGCATAATTGAACATAACTACTAGTATATGTTATCGCCATGGATCAAAAGCGCCTCTAGGCGGCCATAAATAATCACTGCAGTAATAGGAGGGGCTCAGCTAACGTTATGTTGCAGTTCTGCATTCAACTGCTAGAGGCCGCTTTTGATCCACGCACTTCGGTTTCGTAACTAATCAGCCGAGTATCCTCGAAGCCTGTTTTTCAGTCCTATCGATGCTATCGTGGATTGGGCGTCATCTACTAGTATTTAGTTTTCTAAACCAGAAGCTCTCCGGCACTCGGAGTTAAACTCGCACCGAGCAAAACTCACGACATCAGTGCGAAATCCTACAGGTTGCCGCGCCCGAGAGCTCCTTTAGTACACCACCCCCTTCGGCGAAGTGAGTCATAAATACATTGAAGTTAGTGGCTCATTGATTGTGTCAACAGTAATGAGGAAACACTGTTCTTGATTACGACTGTCAGAAAACAGGGTACGCCCGAGGAAGCTCACGATGCTCCAACCTCCGCTTGCAAAAAGGACCTAATCTACCATCTACAAGCAGATTGTGTGGGGCAAGGGAAGACTTACAGGCCACCATGCTGCCGCTAGCCACACGACGCGTTAACTCACTGTTTCTTCTTGGCCTTACTTGTTTGTTGCTGTACATTTGAGCCTCTTTATGAAAGTTTTGTCTGTTACAGGAATAGTGTATTTTTCGCCTTTTTCCTAATGATAAAAATTGTATTTAACGTTAGCAGGTTCATGTTTTTTACTAAGTAAGTAAACGTTAGTAATTCAATTGAGTCTAAAAGAGAGTCCTAAAAGGCTGTGTTTCTCTCAGGACCTCCTTGCATGGAGCACTTGTCATTATATCGTCAAATTTAAGCCAGAAAACTATTTTACGAGTATATTGATTGTATATCATCTTAATGTCATATGATGCATTTGAACGTGACATCCACTGAGTGAATCATCAGGTAATATTAGACCCACTTCTTGAGAGTACTTCCGGTTCACGGAGTCGCTCCTTCCTGTCCGAGGACCGGAGGTGTGAGGAGCGGATTTCGAAGCGTCTCTCGACTTTTCTTACGATTCAACAGGTTTAGAGGCTCGACAGGCGATTTTGCGTGAGGGGACTTTGAGGTAAGGATGGCCGTTGTGTATCAGTACTAAAATTGCCACAGATTAGAAAGGTTTGGCCGAATGTATGGTCATATAACATTTATATGTCGAGTTCAGTGTGGAAAATTTATAATTTATTCGTAACGGACAGAATTTCGTCCCGCCTCTAACATACTTCTAAGACTCTTTGTTTCTGTGGTATCGTTATGAGTAAATATTAGAATTGTATCAAAGTATAGAGGAGATAAGCCCATAATATATTATCCCGTCATTTGCGCCACTCGTAAATAAATAGAAATTGAATTGAATTGAATTGAATTGTTGGTGCCCTCCGGTTTGTTTGAGGAAAAAGGTCATCAGGGGGTTAGAAGGATCTTGTTTACCTTTGGTACAACAGAAAAGTCGCCACATCGATTGTTATTTTACACTGAAGGATGATAGGACTCATCCAGAGCAACAAGTCCCTTATTGGTCTGGATGAGTAGCAATGTTGGATTGATATGTAACCGTTGATGTGTAACGTAAATGGTGTACTGTAAAACCCTCCCTCCGCCTCGGTCCAAGATTTTCCCGCCTTCAGAGTCCGACATCTGGATTCGTTTATGGAAAGGGGAGGTTCACTAATGCCTGCCTGTCAAATACCGCCATAATTTATGGCGGTATTATAACTATACTATAACTTATATATGGAGTTGAAATGACTTTGGTGTTCAATTATTCTTGGAAATAATTGACAGTAAAAATGGGACAAATGCATTTTTGGTCGTTTTAGTTTCCATTATTCAAGACGTGACACAGGTGAGTTTTGTGAAAAATTGTAACAAACATCATTTGTTGATATAATGTTGCATCCATTGATCATCCATTGTAATAGTTATGTTTTCAGTAAGTAGTAGTCATCCTCAATAGAAGGTGTCAAACTTACAATTTTTGCTTTCAAAGTTTCATCAGCTGTTTTAACAACATTAACTTTGAGACAAGTTCTTGCCTCGCTGTTTTTTTACATACACACAGTGTATATATCTAGTTGTAGGCATCTGTGGCAAAGCAGTATCCATTGGCAAGAGGAGTGCCCATTAGTCACCAGTGGCTAATGAGACTGGTGCATGGCTAATGGACACTGCCTTGCCACCTTATGGTCTGTTTGGAGATATGCATGTAGTGCAAGGCCCCCATAACAGCATGCCCGTAGCCAGGATTTTGAATGGGGGGGTTCTTTCCACTGCTTGAGGGGACCTCGAGCGCCGTAGGCGCAAGGCGAGTGCCGAAGGCGCGAGGTTCCTAGGGGGTTCCGGGGGCATGCTCCCCCGGAAAATTTTGAAAAATGAACCTTCTAAAATGGCATTTCGTGCATTTTTGAGAGGATTTCCAAGAAAAAATCAGAGATAGATTTTTATTCAATGACAAAGGGAGCAATTTTTCTACGATTCCAGTCCATCTTTTCAAGAAAAATCTTGGACCTTTACATAAAAAGTGGACCAAAAAGTGGACCTTTACATAAAAAGTGGACCAAAAAAGGTGGACCTTTGAGCCTTGTGGGGGGGTTCGGGGGGGGGGTTCTTCCGAACTCCCCCTGGCTACGGGCATGAACAGTAATACAAGTACATGTACTTGGAATTATATTTATGACTTAATAGACCCTTGCTGGACCACACATACTGATGGTTGTACATCTTGTCATTTCAGAAGTTGTTCGGAATAATAAGTAGACATGGCATCAACAAGCAGCATGCAGCATTCTGATGATGGCAGGAGAGGATCTGGAGTGCATTCTGCCGACACTGTCTTCAGCCGGAAAGGAAACGGTGGGAAAGTGTCTCGCCGAGGTAGAAAAGTACACAAATGTGAGGAATGCGGCAAGATGTTCAGCAAACTGAGTTATCTGAAGACCCACATGCGGAGCCACACTGGGGAGAAACCCTACAGATGTGAGGAGTGTAGCAGGAAGTTTAGCCATCTGTGTAATATGAAGAGGCACATGCGGAGTCACACAGGAGAGAAACCTTACAAGTGTGAGGAGTGCAGCAGACAGTTCCATCGGCTGAGTCAACTTAAGTCTCACATGCGGACTCATACAGGAGAGAAACCCTACAGGTGTGAGGAGTGCAGCAGACAGTTCAGTGATCTGAGTAATCTAAAGACACATATGCGGACTCATACAGGAGAGAAACCCTACAGGTGTGAGGAGTGCAGCAGGCAGTTCACTACCCTGAGTCATTTGAATTCCCACGTGCGGACTCACACTGGAGAGAAACCCTACACCTGTGAGGAGTGCAGTAAGCAGTTCAGTGTTCTGTACTCCTTGAAGATTCACATGAGAACCCACACAGGAGAGAAACCCTACAGGTGTGAAGAGTGCAGTAAACAGTTCAGTGCTACAGACCAGCTACAGCGTCACATGCGAACCCACACAGGGAAGAAACCCTACACTTGTGAGGAGTGCAGTAAGCAGTTCACTTGTCTGAGTAATCTGAAGAGACACATGCGAACCCATACAGGTGAGAAACCCTACACCTGTAATAAGTGTAGCAGAAAGTTCAGTAGACAGAGTACTTTGAAAAGACACATGCAAGTTCACGCTGGAGAGAAACCCTACACATGTGAGGAGTGTAGCAGGAAGTTTAGCCAGCTGGGTACTCTGAAGAGACACATGCGGACTCACACTGGGGAGAAACCTTACAGGTGTGAGGAGTGCAGCAGACAGTTCCGTCGACAAGAAACTCTAACGGCACACATGCGAACTCACACAGGGGAGAAACCCTACAGGTGTGAGGAGAGCAGCAGACAGTTCACTGAGCTGAGTCATCTGAAGGCCCACATGCGGACTCATACTTCAGAGAAACCCTAGACCTGTGAGAAGTGTAGCAGGCAGTTCAATGAACTGCGTAGTCTGAGGAAACACATGCAAACCCACATGTGAGAGACCTGAGGAGGTGAGTCAGGTGACAGAAGAAGTGCAGCAGTGTATTTGTTTAACTTACGGAGCATATGTGGACCCAGACACTAGACACTGTACATGGGTGTAGGAGGAAGGTTTGGACAACTGATGAATAATGTAGGAAGATTTAGAGTCAGACATAACCACTTATGTCACTAGAGGAGGCTTAATTTTTTGTGTACTTGTGACGAAATGTCCATGTTGTAGTTATGTATTGGTGCTTTTGCTATCTCATATAGCATATATTAGAGGCATGTTTCGTTCACCTTTTTGTTTCCATTCATTTATTCAAGTTATTTACATTGCAAAGTAACTTTTTCTTGGTTCACTTGTCAATAGACAACAGAGGACTTAGAACTAAGCTAAGTTGGGGATGTAAGACCATACCAAGTAATGATGTCATTGACTTCAGCCTGTATCCAAGAAAGCAGTGCAGTGTTTACGTGGTGAATTTTTAAAACATATTACTTTATTTAGGTGTTAAGTTTCTATCTCATGGTGGATTGCTATGGCTTTTTATTTTCCCAGTTTTGAAGCAATAGATTGGATGTTGTTTGAAGCAATAGCTTCAATATTATTCACAAATAGGCTACTCATAAGGTAGAATGTTGTTCTTGTATACATATTTGTGTAGTGCATGATTTCTCTTAGTTTGACAGAACTGTTCAATATGTAGATACACATAGTTGGATGTAGCCGTGTTGTAGGTTCTTAGTTTTGACTGAAGTAGGCTGATAGCAATATATAGAATATGAATGACTTTTTTCTTGTTTGGAGTACATTCATATTGTTACCGCTAACTTTGTTCTTATACCTTTCAAACCAGGCCCATGTAATAGATATTGTTCAAGTTATTGTATGTAGAGGTGTTTTATGTTATATTTACATTTGATTGTTTTAAAATACTGCTAGTATGTATTGTAAATAAAGTTTCTTTCCTGATTTGCATGCGTCGTTTAATATCCTTGATGAAGAACAGATTCATGCCTATGCAGTATGCCTGTATGCCATGGTTCAGTGGAGAATGAGCAGATGTGAAACTCGCTTGTAAGTATGAATACTCTGAAGTACTTCTGAGGTAGTTAAGTTAAAAATGATTGTAGAAAGAAATGACTTTGTTTCTGTAGTGAGGTTGGTTAGGCTCGAGAGGTTGTTAGTTTTAAACCTATGAAAAGTAGTTATCAGTAGTTCAACTTGTCATACTGACTTTTATGGGTGGCATCTGCGGCCGCCTGTACATTGATTTTGACTCAAAAAGGAATTCGAAAGGCCTTATAGGTGAAGTTATACTAGTTTGTTACACCATCTTCTGAAATGGGACAACATAAGAATGCATGTCAGAAAGAATGAAAGAAGCTGAATTTGTCACAGTATTTTCAAACTAGACAATCTACATATTCTCCAAGCAGATGTCGTGATATTAATTTAATGACTGCCGGTCACTCACTGCAGCTGGGCATTTCTGACAGTTCCGTACCCCATATAAGCAGATGGACAGATGGACAGGCCACACCGATTTTTCGGAGTGCATCAATATTTGTCCGTTTAAAAAAAATATATTTTGCAAGTCCTACAAAGAAGGTGCAACACTGTGAGCAGAAATATATGTCGTTATTTGCTATTAGTACTGGAGAAGATCTACTAGCGTATTAAT